AAGATCAATGAAGTTTTATTCTAGACAGAGGAATATACCTGAGCCAACCAACCAAACAACAAATACATGGATAGAATGTAAAAAAGAGACACATACTTTGGGGAAAATGCAGAGCACAGAGAATAGGGGCTGCTGGGAAGATGGTTTGTGAGGATTTTTTTTTTTGTACTTCATTTGTTGCAGTAAAAAACATAACATAAACATACCACTTTCATTATTTTAAGCGTAGAGTAGTGCAACATATTTCTAGAACTTTTTCATCTTGCAAAACAGGAACTCCGTACTCGTTGAATAACATCTACCCACTTCCCCCACTACGTCTGCCCCTGGCAACCACTGTTCTGTGTTCTATTTCTATGGGTTTAACTTCTCTAGATAACTCCTATACTTGGAATTGTACAGTGATTTGTCCTCTTGTGACTGGCTCATTGCACTTAGCAATATGTCCACGTTGTAGCATGTGGCAGAATTTCTTTTTTAAATCTTAATTTATATATATATATATATATATATATATATATACACACACACATATATTTCCTTTGCCTATTTATATATATCACATTTCCTTTGCCTATTCATCTGTCGATGGCTATTTGGGTTACTTCCATCTCTTTGCTACTGTGAATAATGCTGCAATAAACATGAGTATGCAAATATCTCTTTAAGATAATGTTCCCAATTCTTTTGCATAAATACTCAGAAGTAGGATTTCTGGATCATACAGTAGTAGTTTTTGTTGTTGTTGTTGTTATTGTTGTTGTTTTGAGGAGCCTCCATACCATTTTGCACAACAGCTATACCATTTCCCATTCCCACCTGCAGTGCAGAATTTTCCAGTTTCTCCACATCCCTGCCAACACATTATTTTTTGTTTTGTTTTAGTTTGGATTTTTACAAAGCAACCACACTAATGGATGTGAAGTGATATCTCATTGTTGTTTTGATTTGCATTTTTCTAATGATTAGTGATGTTGAACATCTTTTCATGCTTTCTGACCATTTGTATAACTTCTTTAGAAAATGTCTAATTCAAATTGTGTGCCCTGTTTTGAATAGCTTTTTAAAAATGTTTTTGAGTTGTATGAGTTCCTTATATATTTTGGATATTAGCCACCTTATCAAATATATGATTTGCAAATATCTTTCCCCATTCCATAGGATGGCATGTGTTTTTGTTAGTGATGTTTGAGCAAAGGCTCGAGAGTCTGACATTTGACTGTATGACCGAAGAGTGCTCCAAGCAGAGGGAGCAGCAGGTGCTAGTGCTCAGAAACAAGAGGCTGAGCAGTGAATGGAGAAGCAACCAGGCCATGTGGTTAGATGGAGGGGGGCAGGGGACAGCAAACAGGAAATGAGTTTGAAGGAGTCAGCATGTGTGTAAATGATGTGTGCAGGCATTTGGATATCTTTGAGCAGAGGAAGAACATGATCCAACTCTTGTTCTCAATGGAAGCTCTGGCCGCTGTGTGCAGAAGAGGCTGTGTGGCAGGGGCCTTAGAAAGGAGGCTGGTGAAACATTTCAGGCAGGAGATGGTGGCTGGAACCAGGCTGCCAGGGTGTGGGGCCTGATCAGAATCTGGATGAATTCTGAAGTTAAGGCTAAAGGGATTTGCTAATAGAATGGGAGCATGGTATGATTGAAAGGAAGGGGTCAAGGGTGCCTCCTACATTTTTGTTCTGAGCAGCCAGAAATAGAGATGTCAATCACTGAGGTTGAGACAGCTGTAGGAGGAACAAATACGGGAAAGAAAAGGAAGTTCAGCCCTGGCTGGTGTGGCTCAGTGGATAGAATGCCAGCCTGTGAACCAAGAGGTCATGGGTTCAATTCCCACTCAGGGCACACATGCCTGGGTTGTGGGCCAGGACCCCAGTTGGGGGCGTGTGAGAGGCAACAAAAATGGATATATCTCTCACATACTGTTGTTTCCTCTCCCTCTCTTTCTACCTCCTTTCCCCTCTAAAAAAATTTAAAAGGAAAAGGAAGTTCAGCTTAAATACCTCGAGTTTTGTGTGCTTTTTGGACAAGGGGATGGGGATTTCAAGTATGTTGTTGGATCAAAGTCTATAGTTCCAGAGAAGGGAAACAGGCTGCAGGTACAGATCTGGGAGCTATCCACCCATAGATGAGTGAAGCCCATCTACTGATTAAGATGACAAAAGCGATGCCAAAGAAGAGAGTCTGGGGCTGCTTTGATATTTAGAGGTCAGAGAGATGGCAGGCAACCAGTAAGGGTGTTGGCAACAAGGCTAATAGACCTGGAAAATCTTGACATCTTGTAATTATGTAAGAAAGGGCTTTTGTTTAGAGAAAGTGTGCAACCAAGTTGCCTGAAGCTGCAAAGTCCCAAAAGGTGAGGCCTGGAAGATGACCACGTGGATTTCACGGAGGTCACAGTGTTCTTGATAACAGCAGTGTGGGAACTGGTTGTGTGTCTGTGTCTTAATGGAAACAATCAAGAGGAATGAGAGGGGTGAAAACATCAGTTCTGTTGAAGCGTTCTGTTCTGTTGTCTAGCACCTGTTGCTTTCCACTGTGTGAGTCCGTATTAGTTTCCTGTTGCTGCTATAACAAACTTCACAAAGCAAGTACTTCCAACAACATAAACTTACTATCTCACAGGTCTGGGAGGGGGGTCACAAGTCTAAAATGAATTTCACTGGGTTAAAATTAAAGTGTTGGCTGGTGGGGCTGAGTTCCTCCTGGAGGCTCCTGTATTTTCTTGCCTTCCCCAGTGTCAAGAGGTCACCTGCATTCCTAGTTTCATGGCCCCATCCTCTAGGCCAGAAGCATAGTATTTGTACCTTCAAATCTCTCTGTGCCTCATTCTTTTACTTGTAAAGACCTTTGTGATCTGGGATCAAATAATCCGGGATCATCTCCCCATATCAATATTAACTTAATTCCATCTGCAGAGTCCCTTTTGCCATGTAATGTAACATACTTATAGGTTCCAGGGGTTAGCGTGTGAATATCTTTGGGGGCCACTATTCTGCGTATCGTGGTTCCATTTCTTTTTTAAAAATTTATTTCTTTATTTTTAGACAGAGAGGAAGGGAGGGAGAAAGAGCAGGAGAGAAACATTGATGTGTGAGAGAAACACTGCTTAGTTGCCTCTCACACACCCCTAACTGGGGACCTGACCCACAATGCAGGCATGTGCCCTGACCAGGAATCAGACCAGCGGCCTTCTGGTCTGTGGGATGACACCAAAGCCACTGAGTGACACTTGTCAGGGCCAGAGCATCATTTTTTTGACTGACTTGTCCTCCTTCTCAACTGTGAACTTCCCAAAAGCAGGTGCCATGTCTGAAGAAAAAAAGACCCTGTCATTCTCTGTCACTTATCCAGTTACTGTCCATCATATCACAATTCACAATTAGATATTTATTTGCTTAACTGATTTTCTGTGGCTTCTTTCAATTAAAGAGGAAGCCGCAAGAAGTCAGGTCCTGTGTCTGCCTGTTCCACTGCAGTATGTCCAGCGCCCAGATCAGGGTCTCACCCACGGGGGTGGGGCAGAGGCTCCATGGACACCAGACTTTGGGGTCAGAAAGGACTGGATTGGATCCTGGTATCACCAGGGACTTTGAGCATGCCAAGTATCTGGTTCCACCTCAGTTTCCATATCTATAAAATGGGGATAATGATAATATCTTCCTTATCAGGTTGTTGTGGGAATTTAATGAGATTAGCAAGCACCAAAAAGGTACTTCGAAGTAGTAGCTATTTGAGGAAAGCATGAGTGAAGGACATCTCAACAACAATGTATGTAGGGTGAATGGACAAATCCACTCATGGGTTTCCCTCCTGGATACTCTCTGCCTCATCTTGTCCTCATGGTTTCACTCTGACATTTTTTCCCTTTCTGTCCACTCAGGGTCCCCTGATTGAACCCGGGCCAGGAAGCCTCACAGACTACCCTCCCCCAGCTCTGGCTGTCCCCTCCGTGGGGGAAACAGGAGAGATTCAATATGCAACTCTGAGATTTCAACAGATGAAGCCTAGGAACCCTCAGGAACAGGAGGAGGTGCCTGAAAACGAATACTCTGAGATCAAGATTTCCAAGTGAGAACTGTGGAGGCGTGGCCCTGGCTTGAGGAACACAGCCCCTGCAGGCAAAAAAAACAAAAACAAACAAACAAAAAAACCCCACAAAAAAACCCAGGGGCTGATTCCTGTAGAATTAAAAGCCCTCTGGGTGATGAGTTAGACGTGTAGTGGAAAGAACACTGACTCTGGACCCAAAGAGTTGCGAGTTCAAATCCACACTCTGCTCCTTTACTAAGTAAGTGACAGTCAGATCCCCTGCCTTTCTGTGCTTCCATTTCCTGCCCTGTGAAATCAGCAGAGAAGCTTTGCTTGCAAGTGTGTGGTGAGAATTACAGGAACAGAATCCTATCAGAGTGCCCGGCTCAATATGTATGCTGAGTGCCTGGCTGGGTTTCTGGGCTTTGAACAAAAAGTTCCCAGTGGGAATTTCTCCTGACTCTGGAAGTGACCAGCGTTGGTCCCTTGCACACTGAAGTTCCTCCCCCTGGAATGCCCCACTTGGCCTTCATCAGCCTGTCTTTGAAAGTGGGGCTCAGGGGGTGAACTTCTGGGTTGAGATGCAGGTCAAGCAGGAGCTGGTGATGTTCCCCCATAAAGACAAACCAAATGAATGAGAAAGGTTCCCAAGCTGATCACACAGCCATCGGATGAATAGAACAACATGATCTGAAAACTTGCCTCCACACATCCATAGATTCTGCCATTGAAAAGCCTCTGTCTCTCTCTGTGTCTGTGTCTCTCCTGCTATCACTCTGCTTCCCTGCTCCTTTCCTTCCTTTCCATCTTTCCTCTTCCCTCCCTCTTTCTTTCCTTTCCTTTTTCTTTTCTTTCTTCTACTGTAACTGCCAGAGTAATGAACACATTTGTTTATATACTTTTGGGCACATCCATAAAGATAGTTCCAAAAAAAAACTTCCCAAAATAGCATTATGAGGTCTGAACTCACTTCACGCTCTTTTAACTTTATTGATTTTTTCCCCTGATTATAAAAGCAATGTATATACTCTGTGAGAAAAACACATTTTTGAATATACAGTAAAGTGTAAAGAAGGAAGCTAACAGAGAGCACTGTTAATAATTAACATTTTTCCACAATATGTGTACAGGTGTCTATATACACATTTTTATGTATACACATAAAACGGTTAGCGCACACACATATACTGTACATACTATATCTACATCAATAAATTAATCCATGCTTTTAACAACCGTGGTCCTATCAGATGCTGCTTTGCATTAGCATTTCTAATTCATCAAGTTGTGAGCCTTTTTGGCGTCAGTAGTTACCTTTTTCCCAGTGCAGTTCCCAACAGGTGACAGATTAGCTGAACATGCGCTGTGCCCACATAAGCAATTACCGCCTGTTGGGCATTTAGAGGTTGTGCTGTCTCCCTGCCACTGGCAGTGTCGAGTTGGGACGTCTCTGCCCAGGCGTCTCTGATGGACTGTGGTGTCGGGTTAGGGAAGTGGGGGCCTTGGAAGCACATTTGCTGGTGGGGAAGAAGCATTAGAATTAGAGCACAGAGCTCCGTGCATGACCCGCCCCCAAACTGCAGCCCATTGGCTGGCTCTGATCGACAGCTGGAGCAGCCAATGGCCACTCTGGCCGTGATGTCACACTGCATGTCCTAGGCAGGGCCTCCAGTCCTTTTCCAGGAGCCTCTGTCTCTCAACCTCAGTGTGACTGTCCGTGTCCCCCATCTCCTATGAGTACCAGCGCCCCCCCCATAGCCTAGCCCACCTCTTTGGGGGGACTCTCAGCCCTTCTCCATCACCCCTCCATTACCTCCTTAACCATCTGGTCCTGTCCTCCGGATATAAAGTGGATACTCACAGACCACGGCTTGTCCTACGGGAAGAGATCAGGGGAGAAGTCACACCTCGGGTCCATAGGAAACTGTGAGAATGCAGGGGAGTCCTGGGTAGATAAGGGGTCAGCTTCTTCTACACAACCCTCCTGGGTGCGGGACCCCAGGAGTAGGAAGTGATGAATCTGGAGGCTGAACCTCTGCACCAAGAGTCCTCAACATTCCACATACTTTTGAAATATTTCGGAGGTCTTAAGGTCACTGCAGGAAGATGCCATGGGGCAGGGGATGGGTGGAGGGAAAAGAGGCTGGGTATGCTGGGGGAAGGAATGGGCACTCCCTGGCCTAATTACTGATGATGATGATGATGATGATGATGATGATAATTCATTCCCCATCGCTACAATATATGCCAGAAACTATGATGATTTGTAGAAATTATCTTGAGCCCTCTCAACAGTTACACAGGTAGATGCTTTAACCCCATTTTGCAGGTGAAGAAACAGGAAATCAGAGCAGTAACGTCACTTGCCCAAAGTCACCCAGCAAAAAAAAAAAAAAATGAGAGAGGTCAATATTCTAAACCTGGCCTCCCTGACTCCCAGCCCCTGCTGCTGTCATGACAGACTGGAAACCTGGGAGAAGGTGTCTGTTAGAGGGAATGGTGAAAATGTTGGGTTGACTCTAGGCTGTGAGGAGAGGTTATGCCTGGCTAGGAGGCTTCCTCTAGGATGTAGAAGAAGAGCTGAACCACATCTGCTGGAAACATTTTTGTACTCCCCAGGGTTGATCACAGCCAGTTTAGAAATTTTACATTGAATAATGATGATGGTATTAACAGCAGCACCTAAGATTCTACTGAGCACTTAGGACATGGCTTTGTTCCAAGATCTTTATCAGTAATACCTTCCTTTATCCCCATAGTAGATAGCCCTGTGAGGTTGGTATCAGTATTACTCCCATTTTACAGATAGCAAACTAAAGCACAAGTGGGCTAATTTGCCTGCTGTCACATTGGTGGCCCAAACTATAATCTTTGTGATATAGAAACCATACAATGATCACACGTAGGCTCAATCTTGCCCTGGCAGATGTGGCTCAGTGGATTGAGTGCCGGCCTGCAAACCAAAGGGTTACCGGTTCAATTCCCAATCAGGGCACATGCCTGGGTTGTGTGTGGGCCAGGTTCTCAGTAGGGGACACATGAGAGGCAACCACACATTGATGTTTCTGTCCCTCTTTCTCCTTCCCTTTCCCTCAATAAAAAGAAATAAAATCCTTCTAAAAATAGGCTCGATACCAAAATACTAAAACAATAAAAAAGGATGTATCTTCTAAAATCTTCACCATCATCACCATAACCAATACTACCATTACCAGAATTACTATCATCACCTCTATTATAATCATTATCACCAACATCACCATCATAACCCGATTCAACAGAATCATCACTACCATCAGCATTATCATCACCATGACCACCACTATTCTTACAGTGTTCATCCTCTACTTCCTTCTCTTCCTGATCATCATCATTATCAAAATCATCATCATCAATGCTATTTTTAACACCCATTACAGTGGTCCTCAACCAGGGCAGCTTGGCCCCACCCCCATGGGACCTTTGTAATGCCTACAGTTATTTTTGGTTGTCTAAACTGGGGGCTCTGGTGGTTGTTGCTACAGACATCAGGTGGGTAGAGGCCAAGTATGCTGCTTAACCTCCTACTGCACACCAGACAGCCTTAACCTCCCACAGCTGAAATAATCATCTGACCCTAAATATCGATAGTGATGAGGCCGAGAAACACTGATCCAGTCTGCCGAGAATGTTCAGAATCCCCTCCAAGACGTGTGTCTAACCCTCCCATCATCCTTCAGGGCAGGTGCTACCCTTCACGTCTTCCACCTGTGGCTAGAAAAATCTGACAGGAGAAATGATCTGCTCGGGATCACCCAGCCAGCTGGAGGCAGAACTGGCACTTAACCCCAGGTATTAATCATCTGTCCACCCAATCTCCTCCCCTGGTGTAGCTGACCTCCACTTCATTTGGGAAGTGGTGACTGCTGTGTACCAGACACATTCTCACACCTGCCCTGCTAGGTGGGCTTCAATACCTACATTGTAAACATGAAGGAACTGGGATGAAGAGAAGTCACTGGATGAAACCCTACTGCTATTTTAGAGATATGGCTGACTGTAATGCTCCCCTTCTCCTGGTTGGCTTCTGGTCCTCAAGACATATGTGTCTGCCCCACATGGTCCCTGACAATCCATTTCCTGGCTTGTCCCTTCCTCCTTTGCTCTGCCTCCTCCCCTTTCAAAGGAGTGCTGGCTCCTGAGTCCCAGACCCCAACCAGTGCCCCACCCTTGACCCTGGGCAACGAGCACCTGGTGGAGGAACGATTGATCAGCATGTAGACCAGGATGCCGCAGATGTAGACACCACCCAAGACTGTCATCACGATGAAAAACACCACCAAGGGTCCTGTCATGTAGAAACCTGTTCTAATAACAGGCATTTGCCCTGGAAGGAGAGGATACGTGGGGGTCAGGACCACCATTGAGTTTTCCCTTCATGCACCCACACACCTGTTCTTCAAAGATGTGTTAGTACCTCCTACGGGCAAAGCACTGTCCAGGTAGTTACAGATTCAGCAGTGAACCAAACAAACTTCCTGCCCTCATGGGGCTGACATCATACCTGGGAACTAGACAGTCAACAGGTAAGGAAAGAGATGTCTAATATTGCAGGCAGCAGTAAGTGCTCCAGAGAAGAACAGACCCACATAAGGGGACAGAGTGTGACAGGGCAAGGGGGTGCTCTGGTTACACAGGGTCATTAACTCATTGCACAGAGAGCCCAGACATTCTGTGAGCAGCAACTACATCCCAGGCCCCGTGTTAAGGACTGGAGACAAATGGCAATCAAAGAGCTCACCCAACCCCTGTCCTCCTGAAGTTCATAGTTCTGTGGAACAGAAAGCCATGAATGACACTGTAGCACAAATACTAAATGCATCACGTCTGGTACATAGTAGGTGCTTAGTAAATAATGTGGTGTGACCTGAATAAATGTCTTGAGCTAACATCCATGTCTGCTCATGGCTTTCTCTGAGAATTGCCAGGAGGATGGCTTTTTATATGCTTTCTTGCTCAATGTCTGATTTCATTCTTGCAGCAGCCTTGCTGTATAGGGGCCCTTTATTATCCTGACCCTACAGAATGAGAAACTGAGTCTCAGAGAGGTATAGCTCTTTGCCCCTGTTTCTTTTTTGTAAATCCTCACCTGAGAATATGTTCATTGATTTGAGAGAGAGAGAGAGAGAAACATCGATGTGAGAGAGAGACACTGATAGGTTGCCTTCTGTACATGCCCCAACCGGGGATCAAACCTGCAACCTAGATATGTGCCCTGACTGGGAATCAAACCCACAAACTTTTGGTGCATGGGACAATGCTCCAACCAACTGAGCCACCCGGCCAGGGTGCCCCTGTTTCTGGAGGACAAGCAGGGGCAGAGGTAGGGTTTGAACCCAGGCCACTGGGTTCCAATGTCCCTGCTTTTTACTGCCTTGCATGTCTGCTCCCTCCCTGGGCATATCAGGGTCTCTCCTTGAGGCAGCCAAAGATCATGCAGTTGTTGAAAAGGTGCTTTCCCCATTTACAAATTCAGTCCCACACCCATGACAAACCTCTGCGTCCTCTGCACCACCTCCCCTCCCATCCTCCCACTTCCTCATTTCAGAACCAGCCCGGGGTGATGACGAGGGCATGGGCTGTGTGGCCAGCCTGCCGGGGTTGGGATCCTGCCTCCTCAGCTCATTAGAACCTTGAATAAAGCACTCCAACTCCCCAAGCCTCGGTTTTCTTGCCTGTAAAATGAGGTGACACCCATCAGAGGCACTTTCTTTGGAGGGAGACTATGAGCGCCACACAGGTAGGAGTGGTGCACAGCACGTGGAAAGGGTCAGTCAATGTTGGCAGGCTGGAATTATCACCCTAGAATTCACCCCAACTCTGATCTGAGGACTCACGGGGCTTCCTAGAGGAGGAAGCTTTGGGCTTGGACCTCAGAGGACAGGAGGATCTCACCCAGCCATCGTGAGCAGGGCGTGTTGAGGTGGGGATGGCATTCCTGATTATGGTGGCTAGGCAAAGGCACAGAGGTGGGAAGATTCACAGGACGTGAGCCCCAGAGGGGGAGCGGCTGCACTCACAGGCCCTCTGGATCCAGATGTCCTTGTACATGGTCATCTGGGTCACGGAGTTCTCCACGATGCATCTGTACCTGCCCATCTGCTCCCAGGTCAGACTCGGGAAGCTGAGCTTTGCCTCTGAGCTCAGGAAGGAGCCATTGTGGATCCAGCGGTACTTGGGTGCTGGCTTGGAAGTGGAGGTACAGTCCATCTGCACTTGGGAGCCGATCTCAGCAGACAGGATGCCTCTGAACTCAGAGGGCTTACTGCTCAGCGCCACTCTGTCGGGTCCATCTGCAGAGACCAGAGCTATGTTTCTGACCTCCTGGGGTCCTGCCTCCTTCCCTAAATCCACAGGAAGTCCTCCTCCTCCTGGTAGGAGGTACCCAATTATGTACCCCAAGGGGACCCCTAGACCTACCCCAGGCAAGGCAGCTGGGCCACCAATGAAAATAATAATAATGTTATCTGTTATCAAGCATGTACTATACAGGCCAGTCCTTTACATCCTAATAAAATAGGTGTAGAGTAAAAACCAATGCCTCACAAATGCATCATACCAGCTGCATGCTGGGCACTGTTCTAAATACGTGAAACAGTCACTTAACTCTCACAGCAACCTATGTGATTGATCCATTTCATAGATGAGGAAGATGAGACTCAGAGGAGAGGACTGGGGAGTTAATGCTCCTCTACCGACCTACAAAAGGGTGAAGCAAGTCCCCGTATAGCCCCAAAAGAATTTCCCCAAGCAGCTGTAGCCCCTGCGGCCTGAGCCTGGTCCAAACCTGCAACCAGTAAGTAGTGTGCAGAAGTCAGAAATTGTCCTCTCCATCACATCCAAAGAGTTAACTAGACAGAGCTGGGTGTGAAGCCAGATCAAGCTGGCTGCAGGCTCTGGTTCTGTCTGTCTTATTCCTCCATCCCTGGGAGACCCCAAGCCCACCCTTGGCTTCACACCCATGACCCCAGACCACTTACAGGCCACAGTCAGAAAGATCACTTCACTCTTTAGAAACTCCCCGAAGCTGGAGTGTACCCCACACTGGATTGTCATGTCATTGCGGTGGACCCAGTGCATGATGAGGGTCTTGCCGTCTGGGGAAATTGTCATCTTGTCGTTGCTGGACACCCGTAAGTAATTCACATACCACACGATTTTGGTGGCATTGGTGCTGCAGAAGGCGACCACGGAGTCCATGTTCTCTGCCACCGAGCTGGTGTTGACCGAGAGGACGGGATCGCCTTCCAACACTGTGTGGGAAGGAGAGGACGAAAGGTGAGGGTTTGGGGATATGTTGGGGACAAACCAAGAGTTTGTAAAATGGTGTCCTGGCAGAAAAGCATCTCAGAAGAACTAAGAGGGACAGAAAAGCAGGAAGTGGGCATGAGGCGTCCAAGATGTGGGCACTTGCCTGAGCCCATCGTCCTACATGCTGAGCCATTGCTGTCATATCCCCTGCAATAGTGGTGAGTTCTTGGCATAAACGTGACTGCATGGTCATTTCTGCAACCCCCCACCTCCCAATCAGGACATTCCATCCAAAGAGCTGTGCATGAGTAGGATTCACAGGGAGAGGTAGTGTTAGGATTCTCCACAATGACTGACCAGAGTCCCATTTACTTTACCAATACTCCCTCCCAGTTTACAACAGGTAGATGTCACCCTGTTCTGCAGGTGAGGAGGCTGAGTATCACAAGGGAAAGATGAAGTCTCGAGGCCACACAGTGTACACAGGTGGGACTGCTGACTAACCTATAGAAGATGGCAAAGGCCATAGCTGTCACGCCCATCATTACCTTGTGTTATGTAAGACTGAGAGAGTGAGAGAGAGAGAGAGTGAGAGAGTGAGAGTTTGGCTGACCTTGAGGAAGCCAATAGCCACAATGTGAAAAGCCTGTGTGGAGAGCCACTGCTTCAGAAAACAGCCACAGCCCGTATTTACGAGCCACAGAGCACAGACAGCACTGGGGCAAAGCCACACCTGAAATCCTGACACATGGAAACTGTGCAACAGTAAAACAGTGCTGTTTCTAGCTGCTATGCTGGTGGCTCTTTGTTGGGTTGCTGACTGACAGATAACAAATACCTATCAGCAGAACTGGAGCCCCTGAAGGGAGTGAGTGACCTGTCTCTGTGGGGAAAGTCAGACAACCATCTGCCGAGACTCCCTGGGTCCTCCGTAGGTGAGGTGGAGGCTCGGACAGCGCTATCTCCAAGGAACCTCACTCCCAAAGCCTCCAGGCCCAACCCTCACACTCGGGAAGCGGGGCAACCTGTCAATTCACCTTGAATCTCCAGCCAGCCGGTTGCACGCTGGGTCCCACTGCCGAGGTCCACCCGCACGGTGTAGTTTCCTGTGTGACTCAGTGTAGAGTTCTCGATCTGCAGGGTGCCTGTGTGGGTCACATTCTCCCGGCCGCTGAACAGGGGCCCAGGCTGCCAGGAATTGGAGGGAGGTTTATAGCTAATAATCACATTCTCTGCATTGTCATTTGTGCCCCGGTGCCAGATGTATTCTCGTGCTCCCTCCGGGACATTGTTGAGTTGCAGGAAGCTTGGATAGCCCTGAAACCCTATGAATGAGTTGATGGAGATTTGGCTGGAGGCTTGGCTGATACCATAGGCCAGCAGACTGGCTGAGGAAGACAGAGAGACAGAGAGAATGATTTACACCATCTGGGCAGCGGTCCACAGACACTGGTGATCACACCAAGGGTTCTATTTGCTCAATGACTCCCCAGCCCACCCCTGCTCTCCATCTGCTCAGCCCCTGCCCTGCTCTGTGCTTCCCCCCTCGTCTTCCAGCCTGGACTCTTCCCTACATACTCAGCCTCCAACCCTTCCTCAAAGGACAGCTATGTGGGTGCTTATAAAGGCCTGAGCTGTGGCTCTGCTCTCCCCACAACCCAAGTTCCTTCCGTGGCTCCTCATGGCCCTCAATGAGGAAGTTCAAACTCTTAGAGCAGCTTGCCAGACACTGTTAGAGAGAGCTGGTCTTTTTGGACTCACGTAGACTCCTTTTAGATCACATCTGTCCCACCTCATCACCCCATGTACTCCCTCCTTCATTCATTCACCAGAAGACACCATCCATACTATGTGCCCCAGTCATACACTCAGCTCTCTTGGGGCACCACACTCTGTCCTGACTTTAGGCTATCTTTTTTTAAAAAAAGATTTTATTTATTTAGAAGGGAAGGGAGGGAGAAAGAGGGAGAGAAACATCAATGTGTGGCTGCCTCTCACACACCCCCAACTGGGGACCTGGTCTGTAACCCAGGCATGTGCCCTGACTGGAAATTGAACCAGCAACCTTTCGGTTCACAGGCTGGCACTCAATTCGCTGAGCCACACCAGCCAGGGCATGAATTCAGGCCTTCACACATGCTATTCCCCATTTTTGGCACACTCATCCCTGCTTCCTCCTTGTTGACTCACTTCTACTCATCTCTCAGTTCTCAGCTTTGATGTCTCCTCCTTCCCAGCCCAGGTCAGATGGCCCTTGGTGTTGCCCCACCCTCCTGGGCCCCCCTCACCTTGTCCCCACCACTCTGGGTTATTGCACTGCAGTGACAGATCTGCACCCCGCACTGGATGTGAACCCCAGGAGGGTGGCCCTAGGACAGGATGAAACCCAGCAGGAGTCCTCAGCAGGAGGATCTGGGTGGATAAAACTCCCCCAAGACTGTCTTTACATGTTACTGACTTACCGTCTAAATTCAGTGGAGTGGATGTGAACAGAGCTGGGAATCTACTGCTCTGTCCAGCCTAAGCCTTGGTTCTGCTGAGGAGGCAAAGACACCTGAGACCCTCCCTACCCCAGCTCCAGGCCTCCAGGTGTGAACATTGGAGGTGTTCCAGGAGAGTACACACAGCTGCCAGTGAAACCTGATAGTCGTGTATGTCAGTGGGACCAGATGCAGCAGGAGGGAAAGGGTTGGGGAAGGGTCCAGCTGGAAAGGCTGGGAGAGGGGATCAGGGCGGATGGGGCACCCAGGGGAAAGGGGTGTGTGTGTGTGTGTGTGTGTGTGTGCGTGCGTGCGTGCGCCCGTGCGCCCAGCTAGTGGAAGTCCTGGAGAGGGTCCTGTCCCCACACCTCCCCTTGTCCGGTCCTGCTAGGTCAGCTTTCTCTTACCCACAAGGACCAGATCCTTCCAGGGGCCGCGTCGGGGTCTGGAAAGGTGCATGAGTGCAGGTGCGTGCTCCCGGTGGAGTGGTCTCTCCAGGGACCCAGCAGCCACCACTGCTGCACCTTCACCCACAGGTGTCTCCCGCCTGGAGCTGCTGCGTCTTTATCCTCTGCCTCCCGGGTTGGACTCTGCACTGCAAGTGGGAGGGGCTGGGGACAAGGGCGTCCAGGAGTCGGTCATTACCATTATGACTTTGTGTTGCCTTTATATAGTTATTACTCACTTACCCTCTTCTACCCTGGTAACAAAAACCAAATCGAACCAACCAACCGAACAAAAACAAGCAAAAACCACGTGCCCGCTTTTATGAAAACTAGAGGATACCAAACAGTGGGCCTGGGCGAGAACAAGGCATCGGACTTGGTGAACCGGTCGGTGTCTTGCTTTTTGTTCTTGTTTTCCCTAAGCAGTGCAAGTGGCTGCTTTCCCCTGGATGGCGAGGGGTTGTTACCTGGACGCGCTGAGACTTGCACCACAGTTGGTGCGGGACCTCCTGGCCGTTCCGGAAATTCAACCTTGGTTGCGGGGCGGGGTGGGCGGGCTGGAAGGGGGAGAGGGGGCTGGGACAGACCAGTCCGGGCTGCAGGTTGAGAAGGCTGGGAGAGAGACTGGTGGGCGGAGCGAGACAGAGAAGGCGGGAGTTGGGGGGAGTGGGGGCTGGGAGACACTGCCAGAGCGGGCAGTACCCTAGGTCTTTCAACCAGTAGTTGGGAATAGGATCGTCTTTCATTTTCATACCAACACATACAACACTTTTAATGGCAAAAGGAAAGCATTGGCCATTAAAAAACTGGAAAATTCTTTTTTTAATGTACATTTATTTTTATTTATTTATTTAGAGGGAGGAAGGGAAAGAGAAACATCAATTTGTTGTTCTAGTTATTATATTTTTAAAACAAGTCCTTACCTGAGAATATAGTTATTGATTTTAGAGAGAGAGAGGGGAAGGGGGAGAGAGAGATTGATTGGTTGCCAAGCAGGGATCAAACCTGAAACCTGGGCATGTGCCCTGATTGGGGATCGAACCTGCAACCTTCTGGTGTATGGGATGATGCCCTAATCAATGCAGCCACCCAGCCAGGGCTGATGGGCTGTTGTTCCATTTATTGATGCATTCATTGGTTGATTCTTGTACGTTCCCTGAGTAGGGAACCTGCAACCATGGCCTCTTGGGATGATGCTCCAACCAACTGAGCTACCTGGCCAGTGCATTTGGAAACTTCTTTAAAAAAATTAACACTATCCTAATAGTTAAATTATTCAAAATGCTTTGTGATGAATCTTTATAATAAATCTAAGATTAGATAAATATTTAAGTAGTTCTCTAAATATATAAAAATATGTATACCTGCATGCACTTTACACTTATAAATATGTAAACAAATAAAATATTTTATACATAGAATAAATACATATACAATGATTTATTATGATTTAATTAATGCTGTTCAAATATCACCTGTCATAATCTGACTCCCTGGAGCTATATCAAGCTTTTTTCTACTAATCTTTTCAGTTCTGAGGTTATATATATATATATACTTATACACACATGAATAATTTTACCAGAGTGGAATCATACCATTCAATATCCTTCTTCACTTGGGCTTCTCAGATGTTAGACTGAAGTTCAGTTAGACTTAGGTAAGTAAATACACACCTCCAAGTGGCTGGTGGTTTATTAAATATCTCTGAAGTCTTTTACTGTGTCCCCAAAAATCCATATGTAAAACACATCTGTGTTTAAAAGGAAAATAATGTATTAGTTACCACTGAAGCTATTTAATGGGTCATTCCCTGCACTCAAATGTGGTCCCCAGAAGACATGCGAAGTGGACCTTCTGCCTTTGGCTCAACTGAAGCCATTGGCTACGGTCCCTTCCTTCATGTCCACGTGGCATCACTGCAAACACTCCTCCATTGTCACTTGTCCTGGGATGCAGACTCTCCCGCCCTCCTCTCTCACTTATTACCCAGGCCCTTGTGCAAGCACACACCCAGCTTTCCTCTTCCCTAAGACACCCTACTGTTTAGGGTTGCATTCAGCCAAAAGGAGCCAAAAATAATCACCAGTGCAGTCATCGACTCATCTCTCATCCAAGCAGGCTGGTGGTGGGCAGTCATAGGTGAGTTGGGGAGCTTCGTGATAATGAGGAACCTAGGCTCCTTCCACGTTGTTGTTCTGTGACCCCTGAGGCTCCCACCTCCTGATCCAAGGTGGTTGCCTGAGCTCCAGCATCATGCCCACCCACCAGACATAAGGAAGGAGGAAGTGGTGGGAACTACTCTCCTGCAGAGCACCTTCCTGGGAATGGCTCACAACTCTTCCGTTTACATCTCACTGGCCAAAATGTTGTCATGTGGCCACACTTACCTGCAGGGGAAGCTGGTGGGTGCAGTTTTTTAGCTGGGCTCCCATGTGTCTAGGACCCTTATTACTAAGGAAAAAGGAGGGGAGTGGATTATGGGAGGAGACCAGCCACCCCTGCCATAGACAGCATCTTAGTGGGTCTACTTGGCAACACCCATGAGGGAGCATCTCTAACAGAGAGAGATGTGTGCCAAGTCATGGCAGGAAAAGATCCTCCCCTTGTATCCAACTGTACTGGCCTGTGATGGAACCAGGACCAAGACAGCAGAGCCCACGGAGTGCCTCTGAGCAGACCCCAGAGCTGGACACGGCCACCCATCCTGGGTGTCCCCATAACCTGGGACCTCTGAGACCCTGTCTCTTTACTCAGGAGTGGTGGGCTTCCTACGTCCTCAGCCCCTAAACCTCCCTAAGCTGAGAAGTCTGGCACGTGTTGGGAAGTGATTCCTGGAACTGCCCAGAAATCTTATGTTCTTTCATCTGGCCTTTTATTTTTATTGTTTTTCCCTTTCACTTAAATTGGCCTTGCCTGGCACGTTGACTCACCCGCCTCCCTCGGGACCAGCGAGATTCTGGTCAGCATCCAGTAGTCTTAGAAGCAAGGCCCTGGGTCTTGTTGACTGTTGAGATAGCTTTCAATCAAACTGAATGTAATATCTTGGCCTCAGTTGTGATTTTAGCTGCAGACCCAGAAAAGCAGAACAAATTCTTGTGTAATCGCCCAGGAGAATTAATTCCATGGTTGACGTCAGAACCAAATGCCATGGTTGATTACCCCCCTAGCCTAGCCCCAATCAGTCAGTAGAGACCACGGCCCTACCTCAGTTGGTCACCACGATTATTGATTATCCCCCTGTATAACCCATCCCCTGGAAGCCACCAGACAGCCAGGTCTTTGAGCCTGAGCCACCTGTGACTCCAGGCAGGGTGCCATCGACTTAATAAATCATCACTTTCTTGTCTGAAAACTGCTGTCCGTGTCTCAGTGCCTTTGATGCATGCAGACAAATGGGTCCCTTTGGTCCAGGACCGTTCCCTCCAGAAAGACACATCCACAGTGCCTGTCGCTCTGCTCAGCCATCCCTAATGTTCACCTGGGGACAGGTGAGAGCTGGGGAAGCAGCCTCAAGGGGCCTTCATCTCTTTCTGGAGCTGTCTTGTGCTGGTCTCAGCCTATTGATAACCAATGTTGCAGCTGGACTGGCCCTAGTGGCTCTTACCTTCATTGCAAGACTCCCTCTGCAGTGACCAACAGCGAGCTTTGAAATAAAAAAAAATAAACGTTTATTACTTACAGGCCTTGGACATTACACAGCACCCTTGGGGTCACACACCGAGGTCAAGGAAAGGAAGGGAGGAAAGAAGGGAGAGAGGTTCTTCATTGGTGAATTTAAAACACATAGCAGGAATTTAAATGGCCAGAAGAGAGAGAGAGAGAGAGAAAGAGAGAGAGAGAGAAGCCCAAGTAGCCTAAATGATCCGTTATCAAAATTAGCCAAGATGTTTAAAATAATAGAGCCTTGTGGAGAGAGATGGCGTGGCTCTTATCTAGTTGTGCGGCTGATAATGTGGTTCCCCAAACCCCCACCCCAGAAAACCATCTTTGAAGTGAATGCCTTGGCAGCCAAAGCTGAAACCAGGTACTTGCATGGGCTGTGAGCCATACCAACAAATCTCCTATCAACCCACATACCATTTTTACGTAAAAAGTGAAAACTCAGCTGTCGGGGCTTATATTGCCAGAATCGAGCTTTGTGCCTTCTCATCAAGAGAGAAAAATGCCACAGCCCCTCCCAGGGCAAGGTTCTGCTCAGCTCAAACAGAGCATACACTCATAAACCAGGCACTCCTCCCTGTTTATTAGGCCTGGAGCCCGCAGGGAGGGTTCACCTGGAATCTTTATGGAACTATAAACCTTGTGGAGCCAATGACTCACCTCTGACCCTGTCACTCCAGAGCATCCAGCCACTGGAGTGGTGAGACACAGCAGCACTCGTCTTGGTCTAAAGACTCTTAGGGATGCATAAGATACAAAGGATAAGCCCTGCCTGGTGTGGCTCAGTGGATTGAGCACTGGCCTGCAAACCAAAGGGTTGTGGGTTCCATTCCCAGCCAGGACACCTGCCCTGGTTTGCGGGTCAGGTTCCCTAGTAGGGGACGTGCAAGAGGCCGCCAATCATTGATGTTTCTTTCCCTCTCTCCCACCCTTCCCCTTTGTCTAAAAAACAAAATCTTAAGGAAGATAAGATTTAAGATAACATTGATAAGATTCAAGATAACCTTCCTACAAGGTAGGTCTGCCCTCTGAAAAGTGAGGTCATAAAATATCTCAGTGTGGTGACAGCCTATTACTATGTGTCAAGGTAAGAACATCCAAAATGATAGAGAATTTTTATAGGAGTTTATTTGAGCCAAAACAGATGACAATTGCTGGGAAGCAGGATCACAAATGTTCTGGAGAATGACAGGTTTGCAGCTTCTTTTTCTTTTTTTAAAAATATTTTATTTATTTGTTTTCAGAGAGAGGAGAAGGAAGGGAGAAAGAGAGAAACACTGATCGGTTGCTTCTCGCATGCCCCCAAATGAGGACCTGGCCCGTAACCCAGGTGTGTTCCCCAACCAGGAACTGAACCAGAGACTTTTCGATGGTGGGACAATGCCCAACCCACTGAGCCACACCAGCCAGGGCTGCAGTTTCTTGTATGCACTTGAAACTGCATACATAAGGAGGGAACGTAAAGCTCCCTCTGCAGTGAGCAACAGCAAACTTTGAAATAAAAAAAGTAAATGTTTATTACTTACAAGGCCTTGGAAATTACACAGCACCCTTGGGATCACACACCGAGGTCAAGGGAAGAAAGGGAGGAAAGAAGGGAGAGAGGTTCTTCATTGGTGAATTTAAAGTGGGGATTTAATTGAAGGTGGGGAAAGCACAGCGGGGGTCTATTATGAGACTGTTAAGAGGATGTGCTTTCTTGGGGGTGGTCATGCTTTAGGAGGAGGGTTCTGAACAGAGTCATGTTCTCCTGCATTAACCAAGACACAGAAGAACAAAGGGCACGTCTTGCTTAAGGCAAAGGTGAACTTCTTTTACCAAAGAAGTTACATGCCTGGGGGTGACTACCCACTGTGACCCACCCAGCTAGGGATTTATGATCAGATCATTCACCGAGCTCACTTTCCACAGGACCCCCTTTTCATCCACAAAAGCTAATGACAATTTAACTTCAATCACATACAAAATCTACACCTTCGCCTAAACATGATGTTATTGATGTCACCATTTACATCTTTGATTATATTGTGTATTCATTAATAAATGGTTGTTTTGATACTTTGGCCTTTTAACTTCTATATGAAGTTGAAAGTGATAACGCCATTTCGGTCAACATCGGAATGCGCGTCCACGGTGGTTCACTGGGTAGCTTAGGTGACGCCATCTAGGTTTGTTAAGTGCACTCAGTGACACCTGCCCAATGACGAAACTGCCTAGTGACAAGTTTCTCAGAACCTATTGAGCAGTGCCTGGCTGTATTTCACATCCTGCCCTCTCCACTTGAAGACCTCTCTTCTATTTCTTATAAAACATGATGCTCAATGGAATAAACCAGGCACGGAAGGACGAACTTCCTGATGCCACTTCTGTGAAGTATCTAAAACACTCAGACTCATAGCGGTGGAGAAGAGAGTTGTGGCTCCCAGGGCCTGGAGGAAGGAAAAACAGTGAGTGGGTATAAAGTTTCAGTGATGCAAGATGAATACATTGTAGAGATCTGTGCAACACGGTGCCTGCAGTTCACAATGCTGTATTGTGCGCTCAAAGCTTTTGTTAAGCAAGTAGACCTCATGCTACATTTTCTTAAAGTGAACCAGACCCCAGAAGACACGGGGAAACACTGAGAGGCCATAGATGTTTCTAACCTTCATTATAGTGACGGTTTGAACAGGTGTATGCATATGCCCTGACACGTAAAATTTCATTCATTAAATATGTGCTGTTTTTGTATATCCGTGATACCTCAATGAATCTGTTCTTAAAAAAGAGATACACCTGTGACCTCATTATCATTCCTACAGTGGAAATCAATCACTACAGACCCCGGTGGGTGGATATAAAGCTCAAACCATCTATTGTAGGTAAAGTATTTAGAACAGTAATTAATTGACACTAAATACACACACTAACTGGCTTTAGGCAATTAACCAGACCATTTCCCACTAATTACGGAAGTCTCAGAAACGCTTTCACCTGATTGCAATAGCCGCTTGAGGACCAGAAATTGAAAAGTCAATACTGCCATCTAGTGGCTAAAACCTGAGCTTCTGCCTCTGCAGATTCCAACAAGAAGGTGGTCCGTGCAGCCCAGAACACACCCACTCGTTCAGCCTTGGATGGGGGGGAGGGGGGGGCTGTTACAAAGTTGCATGTCAGGAACCTATGGGGAGAGAGAGAGAGAGAGAGAGAAGACAGCATGATGAGAGGGTCGTGGTCTCGGGCGCAAAAAGCAGGTAGCAAAGGACAGGGTATGGGCAGGCAGCCAGGACACAGGGTGCAGCCGTGACTCCCGGGTTCCTGTGGCATGTCTGGTGCCCTTTCGGGACTGCAGTGACCCCCTCTGAAAAAGGAGGAAGTGAACAAATCTCCCGAGACAGCCTGGTTGTGGTTGAGAGAGGGTCTGAGGTTCCTCTTCTGCGCACACCGAAACCATCGCAGCTACCTGACTTCCTCTTGGCCCTCCAGATCTTGATTCCTTGAAAGAGGAAACTCAGACAACAGATGAAGCCAGGAAAGGGCTTGGCACGCCCCGTTCCAGAGCCACCGCCGTGCCTGCCGTCCCAGAACAGGGACAAGCCAGGGAAGGATGCCCCCTGGTGGCCACAACCCATCTAGATCAAATCCTGCAGGGTTGAAACTCCATGCCCATCCGCTCCCTGAGGGACCCTGGGAAATATAACTGTGCCTTCAGCTTCGCCAACACCTGGATGATGGAGCTGGGACACATGTGTTTCAACTTGAAAGAAGACACAAAATATACTTACTACACATTTGCTGTTCCTGCATGTGACAGGTATGGAACTGCCTACAGTAAGGACAAGGATGGATGGGATGTGGGGACCCCAATGGAATCTGAGTGCTTTAGATGGAATCGTGTCCCCCCAAATCCATGTGTTGAAGTGACATGATAGTTATTTCAGAATAATTGAGATTAAAGGAGTTCGTGAAAGTGGCCCCCCAAGATTGATGGCCTTGTAAGAAAAGAAACAGAAAGCAATTTCCTCTTCCTCTTCCCACATGCAAAAAGAAAATAAAAAGGCCACGTGAGGACGGGGAGAAGTCAGCCACCAGCAAGCCACGAGGTGGGCTCACACCAGCAACCAAATCTGCTGACACACAAAGTTGGACTTCCGATTGTTAAACACGTTTATGTTGTGTGAAATGCCCAGTCCTTGGTATGTGGTTATGAAATCCTGAGCTGAGTTCCCTATCAGCCTGCAGAGTCATGCAGGCAGGTCCGTCCAATCCTCCTGTGAGAACCGGGAGACCCCTCACTGCAGACCCTCTGCCCTGTCAGGTACTCGTTCAGGCGGATGCTGAGGGCAGCCCTTGGGGGCCTGTGTGGTGGGAGTTCCTCCTCCCCCTCAGCGACTCTGTGGGACTCAGTCACTGCTGTCAGTCTAATTGGCTCAATATTACCTGTCCTGAGCTCAGCCCTCACCGCGGCCCCCTGGTGGGAATCCTCCCTCCCTGAGGGTATGGCGCTGCCCTGGGTAGGGGCTGTAGACAGAGGGGGGCTCACCTTCTGAGTGTGGTACCTGCTGGTGCCCAGGTGTCTCTGTGTCTTCGTGTCACGGTGCCAAGCGAGCATAGGCAGCTGGTGTGTGGGCTGCCCCTGCTCGGGAGATGTGAGAGAGGATGGGGAAGGGGTAGGAGCTAGTCCAGGCCAGCGATGACTTCAGCTCAGCTGGGTCCAGCCCCAGCAGCTCCACCTTATTCCCGGGTTCAGCCTCAGGATGCCAGGAACCCAGACCTTCTGGGCCGTGCTGATGCCAGGACAGGGGTGTGTGGGACCTCATCCTGGGGTCCCCAGGCCTAGAGGGGACGAGGCCTTGAAGTAGGGCCTGGGGCCTGTTCAGCACGTGCCTGGGGCCCAGGGTTCTGGGTTCTGGGGATGAGAAACTCCGAGAATTGGGATGAGGGCAAGCCCAGGGCTGGGACGAGAGCAGCCGAAGTCCCCTCCTTCTGCAGCCACTGCTGACCCCTCCACGGGAAGGGTTTGAGAGCTCCCTGAGCTACACCCCACCACAGCCCCACCAGCAGCCAGCATCTGCCTGTCCATCCCCAGCCCCCAGCCCCCAGCTGCAGCACAGTGAATGCTTGGGGAACAGACAGGCCGATCTCCCACATGGCAATCAGAGAGCTGATGGCAAGGGGGCAGGCAGGTGTCCACACTGTCAGAAGCAGCTGTCCTGGGTGAGGCAGGGTGGCCTCCAGCAGGGGTGATGGGGCAGGGGACAGGGAAGTGAGACCTGGAGTCCCCGGGGGGCGTCAGGTCTGGTCAAGCATCCCTGAGCAGGGAGAGAGCAGAGCGCTCTTCCCCTCTGGCCTGCAACTCTGTGCTGTCCTGGGCCCACAGCTGGAATCCCCCTTCTTGTCCCCTGAGAGTCCAGGCCACATCCAATCTCCAGTCTGCTCTCTGTGCCCAAGAGCCACCAGCCCATGGAGCCTCCAGTAATTGCCCAGCCATGTCTTACCATCACAACATTCACCAGGCAGGTCCTGTAGGTCATCTGTCTCTCCCACAGGTGGGGAACACCTGAGGGCATGGATGGGGTCTGCAAGGTCCCCTCTGCCTCCAGCCCCCACACAAGGCACAGGCTCACTCTGTGGTTGTTGAATGAATGAATGCATGAGTAAATGGGTGAATGAATGAATGAATGGATAAGTGAATGAGTGAAGGAGAGAAGAGTTGAGTGAATGAATGAGCAAGGGAATGAATGAATGAGCAAGGGAATGAATGAATGAGCAAGGGAATGAATGAAAGGCGGAATGAAGGGATGAAAGGCGGAATGAAGGGATGAAATGGCAAGTGAAGGGATGAAACAGCAAGTGAATGGATGAATGAATCAATTAGTGAAGGAGAGAAGAATGAGTGAGTGAATGAGTGAATGAGTGAGTGAGTGAGTGAATGAGTGAGTGAGTGAGTGAGTGAATGAATGGCTGAATGAATGGCTGCCTCCTACACTTTACTAAGACTGTTACTTTTCTTTTACACGCTGCATAACCACAGCCCGTGCCTGCCTGCCTCTGGGTACTAGATCAAAGTTTCTTGACCCTGGCACTGCTGAACTTTGGCCATGTTGTCGGAAGCTGTCCTGTGCAGGATGTGTAGAAATGTCTCCAGACCCTACCCAGTAACTTCCAGTTATGCCCTCCTCCCTAGCTGTGACACTCAAATGTGGCCAGACATTGCCAAACATCCCCTGAGTGGGAAGGCAGATGTCCCTGATGCGGAACTACGTGTCTAGATGACACTGCCTGGCAGGCTGGGAAGCAACCACTTCCCAGTGCAGACTGAGGCACCAGCAGCACCTCAGCCTGGGTGGGAGGACGCAGACCTCCACCCATCGACTGTCAAGCCTCAGATCTGCAGAGGATCTGCAGAGGCCCCTGCTGTCCCCCTCCTAGGTCAGCATGGGCCTCACCCATCTGGAAGCTGGAGGCCAGGACCCATGTCCCTCGGGTCTCTGGGCCATGGTGGGGGGGGGGCGTCCGCCCACTCTTTGCAGAGAAGGGATGAGCTCCAGCTCAGAGCTTCCTCTTCTGCGGATGGGGAGTTGCTGTGTTCCTTCTGAACTTCTGAGAGACTCGCTCCCCACCGCCTTTCTTCTCCTTTCACCCACAGGAGCCCTGAAGCCCCCAGAGATGCTGCCCCTGATGCTGCCCCTGCTGCTGCCCCTGCTGTGGGCCGGTGAGTGCCCCAGGGGAGGGGTGACAGGGTGGAGGTTGTGGCTGAGCCTTGTTTTCCTGCAGGGTCCCTGGTTCACAGTAGAAGATATGTGGTGAGAGTGCAGGAGTCCCTGACGGTGCAGGAGGGCCTGTGTGCCTTTGTGCCCTGCTCCATCGTCTATCCCTGGCACTACTGGTCTGACTCTGGTCATGGCTACTGGTACCGGGAAGGGGCCACTTCAGGCCAGGATGCTCCAGTGGCCACAAACAACAGAGATCGTGAAGTGCAGGAGGAGACCAGGGGCAGATTCCTCCTCTTTGGGGATCCCAGGATGGGGGACTGCTCCCTGGACATCAGAGATGCCAGAAGGACAGATGAGGGACTGTACCATTTCCAGGGGGAGAGAGAATATGGTGTATTCTATCCTCGAGGATGGAATATGCTCTTCGTAAGTGTCACGGGTAAGGAGCAGGCTCCCAGAGAGGCCACGGGGAGGTTCATGGTGGCCCCAGGGCAGGGCTGGGATGGCCTCATCCTGGGAGGGGGTTAGAGGTACAGCATGGTGGGGCTCAGAGGGAGGAGCTGGACCGAAGCCTGAGGCATCTCTCAGGGCCACACCTGGGACCCTCTTTTTGATCCCCTAACCCCCCTTCTCCTCACCAGCCCTCAACAAAACACCTGACATCCTCATCCCAGGGACCCTGGAGTGCAACCGCCCCATGAACCAGACCTGCTCTGTGACCTGGGCCTGTGAGCGGGGCACACCCCCGCTCTTCTCCTGGACGTCACCTACTCACCCCTCCCTGGGCCCCTGGACCCATAATCTGTCCTCTGTGCTCACCCTTACCCCATGGCCCCAGGACCACGGCACCAATCTTACCTGTCAGGTGCAGCTCCCTGCAGTGGGTGTGACTGTGGAGAGAACCATCCAGCTCAACGTTACCTGTGAGTGCTGGGCCCCATGCTCAGGGCTCTGAGGGGCAGGAGACTCAGAATCCAAGCTCGGGACCCTGGCCACTTTTGTCCTGGAGGCCTGGCTGAGGAGGGGACCCAGAGGACACAGCCCTGTTTGTCCTGCATTGCTGTTGCCTCTGGTGGTGGGGAGATGCCTACATGTGCTTCACCACATTCACCCTCTCGTCCTGTCCCAGGTGCCTCCCAGAGCCCAGCAATCAGTGTCAGCCCAAGAGACGGTACAGGTAGGAAGGAACCTGTTATGGGCTGTAGGGAGCTTGGCCTCTTCCAAGTCAGGGCAGGGCCAGTGGCTGCATCACCCTGGACTCCTCCCTGATGACCAGGCTCCCCCTTGTGGGTGAACCCAGTGTCTCTCTATTCCTCCTCCCCCTTGGCCGCTGTGAGTAGCTGCACATTGGGCCCCATGTTCTGAGTACTCTCCCAGCCCCTGTCAGCTGCACCAGGAGAACAAGGCACCACCCACATGCAGAGCAGTCTCTCAGGGTCCCTGATCCTCCTTCCCCTGATGAGTCAGCCAGGCTCATGTTTAATTCCCCTCCAATAGTTTAATTTATGTATTTTTAAATTTTTATTTATTTATTTTTATTTTTATTGAATTTATTGAAGTCACATTGGTTAATAATATCATATAGGCTCAGGTGGACAATTCCATAACACATCTTTTGTATACAGTATTTACTAACATCCCATTGTATGGTTGTATCACATTCAGCTTGTTTCAGCTTGTCTATTCACCACTAGGTAGACATTTGAATGTTTCCACTTTTTGATAGTGAGAACACTGCTATGAATATTGGTTATGCTGTTTTTGTTGGAACATATGTTTTTTAGGATGTATGCCTGGGAGTGGAGTTGCTGGGTCACAGGGTAGTGTCTGTGTGTCACTGTTAGAAGAAACTGCAGACTGATCTCCATGGTGGCAGCTTCATTTCAGGTTCCCAAAAGCAAAGTATAAGCCTTCCCATTTCTCCTCACAATGACCTACATTGTTATTCTCCTTGAAAAATATTACAGGTCATGAGTGGAGGTGGAGGGCTGTTTCACCATGACTTTGATTTGCATTTGTGTGTAATAATAATAAAGCCACTTATTTTCTTGTGGAGTTACTGTCCATTTGTATTCATCTCTGAAGAAATTTTAAAATATCTGTTGCCCATATTTTGCAAGATTTCATTTATTTATTTTTAGAGAGAGGGCAAGGGAGGGAGAAAAAGGAAGAGGCACATCAATGTGTGGTTGACTGTCATGTAGCCCCCATTGGGGACCTGGCTCACAACCCAGGCATGTGCCCTGACTGGGAATCGAAATGGTGACCCTTTGGTCTACAGCCTGCACTCAATCCACTGAGCTACACCAGCCAGGGCATTTTTCCCCATTTTTTAACTGGGTTGTTTGACTTTTTGGGTTGTTGAGTTGTAAGAATGTTTTTTGACCATAGAGACATGAGTTTATTTCTCGGCTCTCTATTCTGTTCCATTGATCTATATGTCTGTTCTTATGCCAGTACCAGACTGTTTTGATTACTGTGATGTTGCAGTACAATTTGATGTCAGCTATTGTGATCCCTCCTACTTACTCTTCTTTCTCAAAATTGCTGTAGCTATTTGGGGTTGTTTATGGTTTCATATAAATTTTTGAAATATTTCTTCTGCATCTGAGAAATGTGTCATGGGTATTTTAACAGGGACTGCATTGAATCTATACATTGCTTTGGGTAGTATGGACACTGTGATGATGTTAACTCTTCTAATCCATGAACACTGTATATACTTCCAGTTATCTGTGTCTCCCTTAATTTCTTTCCTCAATGTTGTGTAGTTTTCTGAGTGGATCAAACAAACAAACTAACCAACAAACCTACGGTGCACTTACACAATGGAATGCTATGCAGCAGAAAGAAAGAAGTACTACCCTTTGTGACAGTATGCATGGATCTGCAGAGCATTATGCTAAATGAAATAAGTCAGGTTCTGAAAGACAAAAACCATATGATCTCATCTATAAGTGGAACCTAATCAGCAAAACAAACAAACAAGCAAAATAGAACCAGAGACAATAAAATGAAAAAAATGATCTGACATGCCAGAGGAGAAGAAGGAAGGGGATAATGGGGGAAAGAAGGGGATAGGTCATCAAGGAACATGTGTAAAGGACCCATGGACAAGGCCAGGATGGTGGGATTGAGGTGGGAGTGGTGGCAGGAAAATGGAGACAACTGTGCTCTAACAACAATAATTAAAAAAAGAACGATTTCTTTTGTTAAAGATTTATTTTAGTTTTTAAATTGCTGTTCAATTAGAGAACTCCCCATTTCCCCCATCACTATCCCCTGCCCTGCCCATCCCCCCTCTCCCACAACCCTGCCCCTGTTGTCCTTGTCCATGGGTCCTTTATATATGTTTCTTGACTTGACCCTTCCCCTTCTTTCCCCCATTATTTCCTTCCTCCCTCACCTCTGGTCACTGTCAGATTGTTTTTTATTTCCATGTTTCTGGTTCTATTTTGCTTGCTTGTTTGTTTTGCTCATTAGGTTCCACTTATAGGTGAGATCATATGGTGTTTGTCTTTCACTACCTGGCTTATTTCACTTAGCACAGGGCTCTCCAGTTCCATCCATGCGGTTACAAAGGGTAGGACTTCTTTCTTTCTTTCTGCTGTGTATTCCATTGTGTAAATGTCCTACAGTGTTTTGATCAACTCATTTACTGATGGGCATTTAGGCTGTTTCCAGCACTTGACTATTGTAAATAATAGAACATTACTATGAACATTGGGGTGCATAGTTTCTTTTTAACTGGTGTTTCAGAATTCTTACACTATAATCCCAACAGTGGAATTACTGGGTCAAAAGGCAGTTCCATTTTTAGTTTTTTTGAGGAAATTCCATACTGTCTTCCACAGTGGCGGCACCAGTCTCCATTCTCACCAACAGTGCACAAGGGTTCCCTTTTCTCCACATCCTTGCCAGCACTGTTGTTTGTTGATTTGTTTATGATCACCAGTCTGACCAGTGTGAAGTGGTATAGGATTTATTTTCTACATTGATTGTACAGAAATAGGATGGGAGAAAGAGAGAGAGAGGAATGCCTATTTATTGTTTTACTTATTTATGGATTCATTGGTTACTTCTTGCATGTGCCCTGACCAGGGATCAAATGCACAACTTTGACAAATCCGGATGATGCGTTAACCTTCTGAGCTGCTAGCCAGGACTGTAAGGGTTCTCTATATATGCTGAATGATAAGCCTTAATGGATCTAAGAATAGCAAATATTTCTCCCATTAAATAGGTTGGCTTTTCACCTTCTCCATGCTATTAGTTTATTTACAGAATGTATTATTTTGATAAATTTCATATTAGGCCTTTTACTTTCAATCCAACTGCAGGGGTCAGGATAGGTTCAAGGGTAAAGGCACCAGTAGTCTTGAGTATATGGATGCAGGAAGGCCTGGAGGACGACTTCCAGATTCCCAGTGGAGCTGAAGGACACAGGATTGCCATTGAGCAGGTGACTCCCTCCTTGTCTCTCTTTCCTGCAGGAAAATCAGGGTCTGGGCCAGGGGTGGTACTGGTGGCCATTGTGGTAGCAGCTGCCAAGACCCTGTTCCTCTTCCTCTGCCTCATCATCCTCACGTGAGCTCTGCCCCAGGGGAAGGGGGGAAGGGCAGGGGAGGGATGGGGTGCGGAGGAGTCCTGTGGCTCTGTCCAGAACGAGGGCTGGGGATCCCAACAAATCAGGTGAAGTGCTGGCAGGAGGTGAAGGGGTGGTGGGTGAGGACCCCACATGAACAGCCTTTGTGAGGGTCCAGGATGGGAGGAACCTTCAGTGCTCAAGATAATCTGTGGGGCCAGATCTGCCATCCCCAAACTTAGTCTCCCTCTTGTCCCTTGAGAAAGAAACAGGGGGTTGGGTCTGCTGCCCACTGCACCCTGATCCAGCCAGACTGAAAAACCCTAGTCCCTTCTCTCAGAGTCAGGTACCACAGGAGGAAGGTGATGAGGCCCACAAGGGGCATGAGAGATGCCAACACAGAATCCAGTTAATGCCTCAGGTGAGTGACCCAGGAATATCACTACCCAATATTCCACTGACACTGCCTCCAGGATGGCCCTGGGATTGCTCTGCTGAGCATAGTTACAGATGAGCTGCCATCTTCCTCCCCAAACTCATTACTTTACAGGATCTTAGTCACACAGATGACACAGTGCCTTCCTTTCTTTGTTCATGATTCAATATGTCACTAAGTGTGTCTACCCTTCCTCCTTATCACAGCTCAGCTCGGTGCCCATCTCCTCCCCATCCTGACCCAGGTTGTTCTTGGGGCCTCATCTCTTCCTGGGCCTCTGAATCCATCAATGTCCTGCTTCCACCTTGGTCCTCAACCCAGGTCTCCCGACTGTGTTTGTACATGCCTGAAGTCCAGGTTCTGCATGGTTTGATCAGAGACATTTTTTCCCTGTGACTGGGGATGAGGGACAAACTCTACAGGCTGGATTTAGGGCTGGCATGGTCTGTGCCCTGCTGGACTCTCCCCTGGATTCCGCCCTCTTCCAGAATCTCACACCATCTCCACACCCAGCTGGGCCAGGGCCTTTGTGACTCTGAGATTTTGCATGTGTAGTTCCTTCTGCAGAAAGGCTCTTCCCTTCAGATTCTTATATATTCACATGTGTGTGTAATTCTTATGTGGTTTTGAACAAAATAATAGTTATTTGTTTATTTATGCTCTCTGTAGTAGTAGGACTGAACCCCTACTGTGTGCACTCTTGTAGACACTGAGGATACAACTGTGAACCCAGCACTAAAATCCATGTCATCCAGAAGCTGTCATTTTTGAGACAAGAGGATAGAATTTAACTGACTGAAGATACTACAGCACTGAGCCACAGAAGGGAGGGCCTGTGTTTCAGGGACCAGAGAGGGGTTTTGAGAGGGATGTTCATTCTGAGAAGCCACCTCATGACCACCAGGGGACATCAGTGAGAGCACTGGCATGAATGATGGACATGAGGAAGTGGTTAGGACTAAAGATGGGGGCACATGTGACAATGTGAGAGGGTGGCAGTGGTGGGGGAGGACAGGCTCTGGTGGCCCACAGAGAAGAGCAGACACAAGAAAACACATGGTCACTTGGTCTCAGTGGTTGGTGGGAAAGGTGTGAAGATGTGATTGAAGCAGGATGAGCAGAGAACTGGAGGAGGGGATATGGGATCCCAGGGTCCAGAAAACCCCTGAGAAGTTTGTCTGCAAAGAGAAACAGAGGAGTGAATGTGGTGAACGAGGTCCTTTCTCAGTTCCTTCTCTGCTTTTTCCCATAGGTGCCCCGTGAATTCCCACCTGTGTTGCTTTCCTGAGGCCATCAAAACAAGTTACCACACCGTCAGTGCCTTTTTTTGACAAGTTTTATTCTCTTGGTTCTTGGGGCCAGAAGTTCATGCAGGAAGTAAAGTACCTTCTCATTCTGCCCTTCTAAGGTCTGGACTGAGACTCATGGAACAGAGAAAGACTAGATGCCACATCTTGGGGTCCCATGTCCTGAACCCCGTGATGAGAAATGAGGTCTGATGTGTGGAAATCCAGTGGTTGGTGGGACTCACACTCTCAGAGACTCAAGGGGAGAGTCCACCTTTGTGATTCCCATAGACTGGGGCTCTTGGCCACCCTTGGTTGGTGTCTGGGTCACTGCAGCCTGTCGCCTGGGCACACTGCCTCATCTTGCTCTGTGTGCAGAAAGTCACCTGCTGTGTCTCTCTCAGAGGGCATGTGTGACTACATTTAGGAACCATACCTAACAAGGAAGAATCCTCTCCTGGTCAATATTCTCACCTCCATCCCATCTGCAAAAACCATTTTCCTCATCAGGTAACATTTGCAGCTACCAGGCTCTCTTTGGGTGGCTAGTATTCACCCTCTGCACTGCCCATGTGACCTGCTGCCCCCCATGAATGTCCCCATCCTGCCTCCAGACCTAGTTTGCCCTGCTCTTCCATGTCCCAATACATTTCAGGGTCACCTCATGAGGGGCACAGGTTTTTGCGAACAGGAGGATGTTGTTCCATAAAGGACACCATTAAGAGAGTTAAAGGAAAAGTTACAGACTTGGAGAAATATACCTGCAAATATAAATTTCATGAATGGTATCCAGAATATACCCCAAATTCTCAAGAAACCAATGAACAAAAAACCAGCTCAGTTGTAGAAAAAAAAATCACTAAACAACAACAAAAGAAACAACCACACTTAAAATTTGGTCAATTATTTGAACAGACATTTCTATAAAGAGATACAAATGGTCAATAAATACATGAAACTATCCTCAACATTATTGACACTAGATCATTTAATTTAAACCACACACATGGGTTCCACCATGATTCTGTAAGTTTGCTATTATCAACAAACTGAAAAACAGAAAATATCAACAGTTGGAGTAGATATTAAATTTCTATGCAGCAGAAAGAAAGAAGAAGCTCCTACCCTTTGCGACAGCATGGATGCAACTGGAAAGCATTATGCTAAGCAAAATAATCCAGGCAGTGAAAGATAAATACCAATGATCTCATCTTTAACAGGAACCTAAATAACAAAACAAAGAAACAAGCAAAATATAACCAAAGACATTGAAATAGAGAACAGGCTGACAGTGCTCAGAGGGGAGAGGGGAGGGTATTTCAGGGGAAAGGGGTAAGGGATTACAGGAACAAGTATAAAGCACACATGGATAAAAAACTAGGGACAGGTGGAAATGGGAGGGAGGAAGGGAGGGCTGGGTGGGTGGGCTGGGCTGGGAGTAAAAGATAGAAAATTGTACTTCAACAATAATTAAAATAAATTTAAAAATGTTTAAAAAATGGAACTCCTTTGCCTTGCTCTATGTTATAAAACTGTGCATCTGCTTTGGAAAACAGTATTGTACTTCCTCAGCTTATTAGATTTAAAAAAATCCTGCACTTACATTGTTAGAAAATGCACAGCATGTGAACAGGAAACATGGTAAACTGACCAGTGACCGCAGCTCTAAAACTGCCTTCCTGTGTTGGGAGGGAGGGAGGTCTCTGGTGGGGACTTTCTCAGGGACATGGAGCAGATCCACAGGTCCCCTCTTGTCTTGTCTTCAGCCAACTGACACTTAGATGCTCACTGACTGCTTGTGAATGAATGAATGCATAAGTGAGTGAGTGAATGAATGATTTAGTGAGCACTGCCTTCTCCTCACAGGGACCCCTACTACCCTTCTCCCCCACTCTCACTGGAACATTACGAGTCCTACACCGTAGGGGACCCAGCACAGCTCCCAGATGAGGCTCTGACTCCTGTTCATGCAGGAGTTAATCAGCCCCTCTGGTGGGGGGCCCTGTGCCCTCTGTTTTTCAGAGTTTAATGGCGGCAGATACAGTGTGTAACTGGGATAACAGTGTCTGTCTTTCTGTGACTGGATTTTTTTTTCACTCAGTGATATGTTCTCAACACCTGGTATTTTTTATATTCTTTTTATTATTTTCGCCAGTGTGGGGGCAGAGTACCGCAGTTTCCATTTGCAGTTCCCTGATTGCTACTGAAGCCTGCCACCTTCCCATGTGCTTGTTGGCCCTTTGAACATCCCATTTTTTCTCTCGGGTTGTCTGCCTTTTTCTCACTGATTTTTGGAAGATCTTTACACAGTCTTTATTGACTCTGGATGAAGCCTTTGTCACATACATGTATTGGGAAATATCTTCTCCTGCCAAGGAGTTACATTTAGAAATAGAAATATTTTAAAATCATACAAGTTCCTCTCCACCCAATGAAGATAACACATGTTCTTAAAATCATCAACCAAGTAGAAGATAGAGGTAGAGACAAAAGTGACCTCTCCCTTTGACCTGAGGTGAACTTGGTACATAACAATGTCCTTAATGCCAATGGTGCATGTTTTCTCACTTAACAATGTAGGTCATTGAATTATCCCCCATGTTACAGAGCAGGAAACTGAGGCACACAGAGGTAAAGTGACTTGCCTGCTGGAACACCCTCAAGTGGAGCTGAGCCTGGAATCGATCCCAGGAATCTCTGCCACTTCAGCCACTCCCAGGAACTTCATGATTCCATTCATGACCTTTGGCTCAGAGGGCTGTTAGCTGTTTAAGAATCAGACCCTGACACACCTTTCTTTTCGGAGATGCTTTTTCTGGGCTCCAGTCAGCTCCTGCAGGTGGGGGAGCATCATCATTTCCGGATCTTGACCTGAGAGTACAGGGTCTCCTGGGCCTGAGGGTTGTGTGGTTTCATGTTGTGGAAACTGAGAGCAGCGTAGTGGGGCTCATGCTCTGAGGGGGAGGTGGCTGGTGCTGGGGGCAGGTAGTGGGAGGAGGGTGCATTCAGGTGACCCTGAGTGGGAAGACAGAGAGGCGTCCAAGCTGGCCTTTGGGGTCTGAAGATGGGCACCTGGGGCTTGGGAGGTCTTACTCGCTTGTCCATTTCACACCCATTTCCTGAGGTTTCACTCACTCACTCACTCTATCACTCATTCACTCATTCACTCATTTACCCCTTTGTACCATTAACAAATTTTAATCATAAAAGCTTGTTCATGTTACTAATCTCACATAATCCTAACGACCTCTATCCATGGATATGACTGTTACCCATTTTATAGATAGGAAAGCTGGGTCATGTTCCTTCCTACTGTTTGGATACCACTCCCAGGAAGTTGTAAGTTATAAACGTTGTTTGTATCGAGTTTCTGTTGGGCTCGCTGATGTTAATGATGGAGCACAACAGCTGTGTGGGGAATAATCGGGAAGGGGAGATGGAGTCAGGGACCCCGGGAAGTGGTTGGGGGCTTGGCAGAAAAGGAAGCAAAGGCGAGGACTTGGCCAGTGACAGACTCTGGGGGATGCAGGAGAGGACAGTTCTCAGATCTGAGGGGCTGTGCCAGGAAACCTGGGGGAGGGCCAAGTTTGGGGGCAGAGGAGGAACACCTGTGTTCAGCACAGGTACACTGGGTGGAACGTGGCCCCATCACTCACCTGTGAGACATCTTTCTGGCTCTCTGCCTTCTCTGACCACTTTTGTCTGCAGATCCTCAGTCTGAGGAGAGAGACAGGGCCTTTCAGCCCAGTGGGCTTGCACCTGGGGGCCCAGCAGGGCTTACAGAGGCAGGTGTGGAGGCTGCTGCCTGGCTGCAGGGACCAGGAGAGGAACACACGTCCCTCCTCCCAGACAGCTGCAGCCAGGTGTTGGGAACACAGCGCACCTGGCCAAGGTGCCAGGAGGCTGACTTCTTGTGTCTGCCTTAAATTGTGGCACCTCTTCCCAGATTTATCACCTTGTCACAACTTTGGGCTTTCAAGTTTGGAGACTCTTTGTGTCCCTGCCCCCACACACCACCAACTCCACCTCCTGAGGCCTTTGCCCAGCCTGGGGCCACCGCCCACTCACATGATGAGGCCAAGGCAGACAGCCAGCAGGGCTGTGGCACCAGCTCCCCGAACAGCCCCTTGAATCACTCCTGTCCTATATCCTGGTCTCCCTGCAGAGATGAGACACCTGGGGTGAGCTCTTCTTTCCCTAGGCAGGTATCTGAGCATCAGACCTTCTTGAATCCATGCTGAGGAGTGTGCCCACTCCCATCCAGGACTCCTTTGTCCCCCACCCTTCATGTGACTGCAGCCTCCAGGTCCCCCAGCCCCTCCCCAGACAATGTCTCAGGGGCCCCGACTGCAGTGCCTCTTTGCCCAGAGTCAGGCCACTTTCCCTCCCACTCAGTGTCTTCTAGGGTCCAGGGCTGTGTGCCCCCTCCCTGGGCTTCCCCCCTCATGCCCTGACCTGGCAGCAGCAGGACAGTCACTGTCTCTTTCCCGTGGGCATTCTGGGCCTCACATGCCAGCCTGAGGTTGGACGTAAGCTCCCCACGGATGCTCAGGGAGCTGTTGGCCCAGGGCTCTGCTGAGTGGAAGGTGACCGTATGGGAGGCATTGCTGTAGTTCCCCTCCAGCAGGGCCTCCCCGAGCCACCAGCGCAGGGAGGGGGCTGGCTGGGCTCGAGAGGAGCAGGTGCAGTGGAGACCCTCATCCTCCCAGGAGCAGGAGGGTCCCTGCAGCTGTGGGGGGTCTGTGGGGAGAAATAGGAGAGGGATCACAAGAGCCTGTCTCCTCCCCAAGACCTCAGGGCCCTCCCGGCACAGGTGTGCTCCTACTCACTTTCACATGAAAGTAAGGGGGGCTCCACTCTTTCCACCCTCAGGGACCCAGTGTCCTGACTGGGTACTCACAGGTCACGTTGAGCTGGATGGTCCTCTCCCTGATCTCACCACCTGGCAAGTCCACCCGGCAGGTGAGGTTGGTGCCGTGGTGCTGAGGCCCTGGTGTGAGGGTGAGCACTGAGGAGTTGGGAGTCCTGGGACCCAGGGGTGGGAGGTTGGGCCCCATCCAGTAGAAGATGGGTGGTGTCTCTCTGTCACAGGCCCATGACACTGTACAGGTAATGTTGTTGGGGTGTCCAGATTCCAGGGTCCCTTGGATGTGGATGTCTGGCACCAGATCTGGAGAAGAGAGAGACAGACACCGAGGCCCTGGAGATGGGATCTCCAAGTGTGCCCCTAACTGCAGCCTCTGTTCCAGGTCAACCCCTGGATCCAGCTCCCATCAGTCCCCCTGAGTCCTTCCCAGTATAAGGAGAATCAGGTCCCTTCCCAGCCCAGGAGACCTCAGGACCCAGCCATGTATCCTCACCTTGACCTGATTTATTTTCTGTCACATGTACAGAAAGCATGTTTTTGTAATTCTCTTTCACACAGGACCCTTGCTCCACCCTAAAGAAGTATTTCCCTGTGTCTGTTTTCTGTGCATCTCTGATGTGCAGGGAGCAGTTGGAGGTCCGGGGGTCCCCGACAAGGCGGAATCGGCCCCTGGACCCATCCTTCACTTTACGATTGGGGTTGTTTGTGGCCACAGGATCATCCTCGCCTGACTTGGCCCCTTCCAGGAACCAGTAGCCATGAGCTACGTCAGACTCAGTCCAGCCTATCTTGGGATAGATCACAGTGCAGGGCACGAAGATGCACTGGCCCTCCTGCACCGTCACGGACCCCTGCACTCGCAGCTGGAATTCTTGATGCTGAGCCAGGGACCCTGCAGGGAAAGGAGAGTCAGTCACAGCCTCCACCCCAGCTCACACACTCTCCCCTGGGGCACTCACCTGCCCACAGCAGGGCCAGCAGCAGCAGCAACAGCATGTCTGGGGTAAGTGTCAGGGTCTCTGTGTCACTGGACTGAGAGGAAGCCCCAACAGGAAGCCAGGGGGTAGGGAGAAAGGTCATGATCAGGGAGGAGGAAGTGGGCAGCCTGTGTGGTGGAGCTGGCCTGGTCCTTGGAGAATAAGTTCTTCCACTGTTCACATAGGGTCCCCATGAGGGCCCCATATGCTGAGGAGGACCCGGCCTTATATGTCTGGCTCCCTGTCCTCGCCCCTCCCTCTGGCACTACTGTCCAAACAAGAAAGCAGGCACAGCTTCTCTACAGTACTCAGGATCAGCCTCCTGGGAGTGGGACTCAGGATGGTCAGAAGGGAACAGAAGGCAAGAAATGTGACATAGTCCTGCAGGTGAGACAGGTGGTGATGGATGAAGGAATGAACATACAGCCCATCAGAGTATCTACTCCCTCAGGGGTGTGGAGTCAAAGTGGGGACAGTGGAAGCCTTTGTCCCTGTTGCTGAGAGTGACCCTTACACCCGGGGAGGCAGAGGGGCCCCAGGCCACGCCAGCTCCCAGTGATCCAGGGTGTGTTGGTGGGAGCACAGCCCAGGGTGTGTAGGAAATCCACTTGCTCTAGGCAGTCAATAGTGATCTTCCAGGTGAAAATGGCCAGGGAGGACAGGATCAGGCCACCCAGGTGGTGAGCAGCTTGTGACCCCACAGGTTGTCCCCAGCTTGCTGGCCGGCTTAGAGTCCCCCTGCCCAGGGATCTCTGGTGTTGATTCAGAGCAAGATGGCAGCACAGTGTGCCTTTGGACTCAGGGGGGCCTGGCTCTTCTGCCCTCCAAGCCTCACTTTCCTCATCTGTCACAGGAGGCATCACAGTCCTCAACCCTCATCTTCTGTGGGAGAACCCTAGGTAAGTGCAGGTGCTGGACCTGCCCAATCCTCAGTGGTCCCTCTGAGTCTGGCCCTTGGTGGACATCTCCTGATGGCCAGCTCTGCCCTGGGCTTCTTCAGTTGAGATCTGCAGGGTGGGGTTAGGGCTGTGGGCTGTGCAGCCAGACGGCCTGGGCTGCAGCCTGGCTCCTCCATGCTCAGTGTGCTGCCTCGGGAAAGGCCTCACTGCCCTGTGCACAGTCGGACGCCCAGGATCACGAGGTGCTGTGGGCTGAATTGTGTCATACATCTGTTCATGTCATGACCCCTGCTACTGCTGAATGTGAGTTGTTTTGGAGATGGGTCTTTTAGGGGAATTAAGGTAGAATGAGGTCACTAGGGTAGACCCTCATCCAATAGGACTGGTGACCTTGTAAGGAGAGTTTGGGGCAGAGCCAGGCACAGAGGGGAAACCACAGGGGAAGAACCATGTGCAAGTCAAGCAGAGACCTCAGAAGGTTCCAGTCCTACCACCTCCTTGATGTTGAACTTTCTGTCTCCAGAACTGTGAGAATTTGAATTTCTGTGGTTTACACCCCCTAGGGGCGGCATTGTGTTATGACAGCTAGAGCCAGGGAACACAGGAGGTTGTCAAGAAGGTGTTCCTACAAGTAAAGTGTGGGGAACAGCCTGGCCCTGACCACCGTGATACTGTCCACATGGGGTGGGTCTGTAGGATGGGGAAGCTCTGTGGGTGGGAGGAGGAGATGAAAGGGAATGACTCGGTAACAGGAAGAAATCCTGTGAGGCAACTCCTCTGCTCCTCCACCACCTGCTCTGCATGCACTCTGCAGGGCTGCAGCTTCAGCCCAGCCACCCTGCTCCTCCTTCCCCAGGGCAGGACCATGCCTCTGGGCTTATTCAGGCTGCTCCCTCTGCTGGAGAGCCCCATCACTGCGCCTGCACCCTGGGTTCCTGCCTCTCATCTCTGGAGCAGGGTGTTCTTGAGGGGCTGTGTGGAGGTGAGGCAGACCCTGGAGGACCTGGATGGGAGCAGGGACAGAGTTGCAGCCTGGCTGGTTAAGGCTGACACAAGGTGGGGTGCAGTGGAGGAACCTGAGGAGGAAGAGAGGGTGAGCCTGGGTGATGGCACAGGCGAGCTGGGGGGTGAAAGGGGAGCAGGGTTGTATGGGAGGGAAGTCACCCCTTTTGATAGAGCAGGACCAGAGCCAGAGATGCTGGTGGGGAAGAGAGGGGGTCCCGCTGTATCCCACTTGTTTCAGTCAGTCCTTCAGCCTCTCTGCTCCAGCATCCAAGGAATCTTCCTCCTCCCCTCCCCCATTCTCTCCTCCACATTTCCCCTGACCCTCCCTCTCCCCTCCTCTTTCTCTTACTCCACCTCCCCTTTCCTGATTCTCCCTCCCTATTTTGGTTCTCCTCCTGCTTCTTCACTCCCCACCCACTCCTTTCAGGTGAGTCCACTTTCCTTTATACCTGTCCTGGCTTCAGGTCTCAGTCTTTCAAAAAGGTGGACAGATGCTCAGAACATCCCTTTCCATCTCCCAGTGCTTGGTCTAAGTGTGGACACAAATGTAGTTCCCTCACAGGCCAGTGGGGTGGGGTGATGAAGCCACAGAGACTGGTGGACCACAAGCTCAGGGACTAGCGGTGTGGTGACATCAGATGGTCAGAGGGTGGCTTCTGAGATTGACAGGGAAGGTCAGTGGAATGGCAGAGAGGAACCTGGGGTCATGAGCATCCCAGACCTTCCCTCCTGCTGGGATGTTGGGTCTGGTTGGCTTGACCATCAGGCCTGAATCTTTCCCTGCAAAGCTGGCTGTGTGAGGACCCAGGGTGTGAGACCTGCTGTGTGTGTGTGTTCTTTAGAAGTGTTGCATGTTTGTGGCATGTCTGTCTGTATTTTAGTGTGTATATGTGTATATATGTGTGTCCCTTACTTCTTTGTGTACATGTGTGTATATGTGTGTCCCTGATCTCTCAGTATGTATGTGTGTATATGTGTGTCTGTGGTCTCTGTGTGTATTGTGTGCACATATCTGAGTGGTGGGTTTGATGTGAGATGCCATGGTCTGGCCGCAGCTGGGTCCAGGGGTCCCTGAAAGGTGGGTAAGGTGTCGGCGATGGTAGACAGACGACAACACGTTTCAGAGGACGGTGATGCTCTGTTCCATTTATTGCAAGTACAAGCAGGTTTTTATACTTTCATTTTTAGCAGTGATTAACATTTGTGGTTAGGTGAAGCAGGAAAATATTAATACAAAGGTAACCAGGAAAAATACGAAAGTTTCCATAGATTCAATTATATTAAACAAAGATTATTTTGACCAGGAGAGCCATAAATCAGACAATTAGAAATAGCTGTATGTACAAAGTTTGAATGTCTTATTGTTTATTAAAGTTTTCAGAATTTGTCATCTGACTCCTTGGTAACTGTTTTTACGTGCTTAGTTGTAATAGCTAACCAGCTTTTCTTATTTCTTTGCCTGTCTAATTCTTCTTGATATATATTCCTATTCAAGGTAAAGGAGGGGCTGTTACTCCAACAACTTTTAGACATTCAGGGGTTATTTCATTAGAGGGGATTTTGTTCTCTGGTCAAAAAATTATTTTATACAACTTCATTGGAATTATGTGAATCACTAAACCTGAGATACAGGTGTCTAACAATCATACCACCTTTTAATCACCAAAACAAACATGTAAGGAGAGATAAACAGGAAATCCAGCTACAGTAAACCTTTTTTGTTCCTTAGTTAACCAACACCAGGGAGGTCTGCTTTGAGCTAGCCTTTCCATGAAATGTAGACTATTATAAGGCACTTGGACTCCATTCTTATTGACCATTTTAATGCCATCCTCATTATATGCTCCCGTATAAGGCAATGGGGGAATCTGGAACCCTCTGGAGACTATTAGTTCCTCTTGGGGGATACCATAATTTGCCATTAATCCAATATGCTGCCCAGGGGTATCCCCGGGCTGTGAGTAGGGGTCTATATAATTTTTCTTGTTTTCTTGAAAGACTCTTTGTATCTATGAGTAAGGAACAGGCATGGGAAAGTCTGCCAATAATTCAGCCCATTGTAACTGATTCATGAATTCTTTTATGGGAACAATCAAGGATAATTTCTTACTCAGGTTTATAAACACCTTGTTTAAAACAATTTGGGCATGATTCAATAGTCTAGGGAGAACTAGTTGTCCCTTCAGAATTTCCCTCAAAGTTAATTGTTGACTCACTTTGAGACTTTTTCTTCTTATGGCCTGTTCTTATGGGAATCAGGGTACAAAGTAAGACCATGATCAATATTAGCAAGGAAATTATTAAGAGCAATCCCCAGGAAAATTACCACCCCCCCTTTGTATGCTACACTCTCTTCCAGGAAGATGGATTCCTTGAATTCCCTCTTTCCATGTTCGGACCTTGTCAAAAAACATGGTTGGAAGAGGGCATGGCAGTGAGGCACCTGTGGTGAGTGTGCATGTGTGCACCCTGAGAGCTCAGCTTCTCAAACATGACATCCACAAACAACACCATGCAGAATGTAATCCATCCCACATTTTCTATATAACTTTCCTGCTTTGTTTTCCTGCAAACTCCTCAACACCAATCTATATAACATATAAATCTTATTCCACTTCCTGCGACTCTTTAACTCTGGGGCTTAGGCCAGCCCAGGGGAGGAACTGCAGGATGTGTCTTGGCAGAAGTGGGGCTGGGAGTCTGGGGTGGTTGAGACCACCTGGGAAGAGACCAGAAGGCTGCAGACAGAAATGTGAGAAACGCAGAAAAAAGGTAAAGCCTGGCCCGGATTGTAAGAGTTACAATCAGCTCGGGTGGGGAAAGATAGAAAGCATGCATGAAGGTATTCAGCTGGCTGGGGGACAGGTAAAAAGCTAAAAGGAAACCTGATTTCTCCTAAGGTCTTGGAACAACTGTCAAGTGTCATAAGGACCCCACTTTGAGTGATGAATGCTTTCTTCCAATGATGCTCCTAGTCTGGCTTCATTATTCCCATCTAGTGAGTTAGCACAGCATCCAGTACACAGTTGACATCCCTACAGGGTAAGAGGTCATGTCTGAGGAGTGCGGCACCGGGGAGATGAGGACACCCATGACCAGCATTACAGACCTGCGAGGTCACCAGCCCCTCACCCAGCCCTTTCCACTCTGCCCTGGGCCTGATAGATGGTTTGCCTCCAGGGGGCGCTCAATCCACCAGGGGACACTGAATCCCGGGGAGATTCAGGCGGGGCCGCTGCTGCTGTCCACTGTGCTGAAACTGCACCCCAGGCGAACTCAGGTACCTGCTTCCCAACTCTGCAGAAGGGCTTGACCCCACAGACTTATGTCCCAGTTTGGGGTCAGGAGGGGAAAATTGTGGAGGTGGATGGAACCGGAAGGGAGGAACAAACAATCAGGTGTCGTCAGGCTGGGCTCCTCTCTCTGCTCCATCTCCCCCCTCTCCTGTTTACTCTCAGGCATTGTCTGTCCTGAGGATGATCTCTGTCTGTCCCACCTGGCTGAACCGCAGGCAGGAGGATGTGCTTGCTAAATCCCTGTGTGTCTCGCCCTCTGGATGACTTCTAAGTAGCTCTCTTCATACCAGCTGCACCAGAACAAACAAAACCTACACAAGAGGTCTAAAAGTGAGAGGCTAGCCCTTCAGCTAACAAAGGAGGAAAGAGAGGGTTAGGGTCAGGGATATTGGACACTATGCTGGAGCCTTTCTCCAGTTCTGCCCATTCACCCTGTGCTTCTGGGCAGGAGGGGATACTCTCAGGCCTGACGGGAAAAGTAGGCACTTCCTGGCTCCCACTGGCCCCTCTTGCTGGATTTGCTGCTACTGTCAGAGGGACCTGGAGAGGGAAGCACCTACCTGGCTGCCTCCTGATTCTCAGTCGGCATTTGGGAAACAGTGGGTTGAGTGTGAGTCCTCTGTTGGGGCGGGAATGAGGGGCCCTGCCTCTGCATTGTCCCTCATGTCCTGGGCTCCTAAGCCAATCCACTGTCTGCTTATTACCAGAATTTTCTGGTGGCCTCTTGCACGAGTCACAGGGTGTATGGCTGTGAGTGGAGGGGAGGTGTCAGGAACAAGGGTCAACACCATCCTCTCTGCATTGGAAGTCTACCTATCAATTATTAATATTTCAAGAACAGGTTGATGTGCATCACCCTGCCTGACACTCTCATGAACACAAGTCTGACTCAGCTGTTCCTTCTGGGTGCTGGGTGGTGGGGTTTAGGGATTGGGCATTGTTTTACACTACACTTGTCCTTAGGGGTCACTCTATGAACTTATGATGCATCTTCTTTCTTGTCATGGTTTCAGTGCTGCAGGAAAATTATGAGCTGTTTTTGTTTGAACTGATTTTAAGTTCAGATATGAGTTATCTTGCCCTGGCCAGCATGGCTCAGTTGGCTGAGGCATCATCCTGTAGACTGAAAGATTGTGGCTTTGATTTGTGATCAGAGCACATTCCCAGGTGGCAAATTCCATCCCTGCTTGGGATGGGAAGGGCAACAATAGATTTCTCTATCATCTATCTATCTACCTACCTCTCTATCTCTTTTCCCAAAGCAATAAAAAAATGTCCTCAGGTGAGGATAGAAAATAATGAACAAATGTCAGGGTTTTCAGGAGGAAGATTACAGAATTCTTCTTCCATCATCTCAAAGAAGGCATGTAATTCTGAAGGCTAAGAAGGTGCTACCCAGAGGATGACATGGTGATGGGCATTCCTGGAAGAGGGACATGGATGCTCAAAGACAGGGAAGAACACATCAGAACAAAGGTCCTCAGAGACTGGCTTGAGTGATTGACAGCTTAGGATATGGTGACAGGGAACTGGACCAGGTGAGATTAAGAATCACTTGGAACAGGGGACGATCACTATAACCAGGGGGCTGCATGCATTTGCCAATAAAATTTTGTGAAACAGAGACATTAACTTAGTTCCAGATTGTGTATGGTTCTGTTTGCAGGACATTGTTGCAACAGAGGCCATACAGCTTGCTAAGCCTAAAAATTTGCTTTCAAATTTTTGAAATTTTGTTCCTCTCACAACATTTTTCTCCTGACTCCTGACCTAGAACAACAAGTGAAGCCTTGTAAAGTGTTCTTTTCGGTTGAGGAGGTAGAGCAGTATTTTGACTCTGCTCAGCTCTGAGTTTTAGGAAATTCTATAAATGTCAATTCGTGGTTTTGCCTATAGCAGGACTAGTGGCAAGCAGGCAGCATGGAAAAGGAAGTTTCAGGAGTGGAGAGAGATGATGGAAGGAAACCCACAGGAGGGATTTGAGTAAAGAGCAAGGCTGACATGTTGCAGATGTGGTATCAGGGACAGGACAGACACCCAGCCTCTGAGTGAAATGTCACTCACTCTCACAGTGCACCAGGACCTCTGCTGGGTGTTTAGCATATGGACTTTTATTCAATCCTCAAGGAACTCTGTGAGGTGGAGCTCTTTACATCTAATCACAAAGCAGGGAATGGAGACACAGATGGGTAAGGTGGCTCACAGGCTGTCATATTCATAATAAATGGAAGAGCATGAACTCGATCCCAGGTACCTCCAATTGCAATGTCTAAGACAGTTTCAACACAGCAGGAAATGCATGTACAGTGGTTTATGCATTCCTTGCCCATGGGGATGTTAAGTCTCCAAGAATGAGCCTTCCCACCTGGACATGCTGGCTTCCTACTAGGTTCTCATCTCTGTGTGTGTTGTGTGGGTTCTCTCCTGAGGAGGATTCATTTCTGAAAGCTGATGGAGGCATAATACACCTCTGGCTCTGTTTCCAAGGTCAGGCTGTCCACTGTAGAGTGTGTAGGGTCAGTGGGGCTGTCTGATGTGGGCTTCATCTGGTGACCCTGTGGGGAGACCAAAGAATGGAGTCAGAGCAGGGAGCCAGTGGGGGTGGGGAGGGTCCCCTGAAGAGGATTTGATTGTGACAGGACCTTTGTTCATTCTTCTAATCTTTTATTAAATACATGTTTTTAACCTTTACCTGGGGATATGTTTATTGATGTGTGTGTGTGTGTGTGTGTGTGTGTGTGTGTGTGTGAGAGAGAGAGAGAGAGAGAGAGAGAGAGAAACATTGATGTGAGAGAGAACATCAATGGGTTGCCTCCTGTACATGCTCTGACTGAGGATCAAACCTGCAAAGTAAATATGTGCCCTCAGCAGGGATCGAACTCTCAAACTTTTCATGTATGGGATGATATTTCAATCAACAGAGCCACCCACCAGGGCTATTAAATATTTCTGAAGGTCCCATGTCTTCAGTTATCCTGCAAACATGCCTCTAATGGGTTGCTTTCCAATTCTACTCAACACTCACACAGACTGTGTGGAAAGTTTAATTATTTTTACAAAGACAGAAACTAAGTCTCAAAGAAGTTAAGTGCCTCTCAAGGCCACATGCCTATGGTTTGGGAACACAACCCCTGGGCACTTGGGGGTCTCCCATGAGCCAGGCACTGGATACAGTGGAAGGGGTTTATAAAAAACGACTTCTCTTTCTGTGTGTCTCTCCTTTGCTGTTACACTGAGACATTCTCTGATACCAGCTGAGTGTCCTACAACAGGGCTGAACTCTGACACTGTCTACTTGTAGTATTGTCCAATCCCACACATCAGGGACTCCAACCCAGAAGATCGACTCACTGCCAAGTCAGATGTCAATCACAAATCCAGGTTGTCACTCCTTTCTTGGCTGCTGAGTTAACTGCAACATTTCCCAAGAGGCTTTGCACATCCTCTTCTCCAGTTTCTCTTGAACTCACTCTAATCAGGACATCTGCCTCCTCCTGGCCACCAGACTTGTCTTTGTCCACAGCAGCTCTGAAACCACTCAGCTCAGTCTGAATGGCCATGTCTCAGACCCTGTCTCACCCAATTTACTAGCATGTGAGCAAATACAGACAGTCTCTCCTCCTCAAAGTTCACTCCCTTCTGGCCCCCAGGACCCAACCCCACACTCTCCCAGATGTTCATTTTTCTTCAATGGTCTCCTTTCTGGGTCCACCATGTCTCCTGGACTCTAAACACTGGGGTGAGGAGGGTCTCAGAGCTCTGTCTGCAGACCCCTTCTCCTCTCAGTGGTGTCAGCCACTATCAGACCTTAAGTGGAGGGTCCCCAAATCTCCATACTTCCCACCTGCCCTCTCCTGAGATCTGGACTCTGACCATCAGTTTGTCATCTTCAGGTAAACATTTTAGAAACACCTTAAACTTATGGTAACTGAAGCAAGGTTTCCTCTCTCACACTGTACTCCTCCTGAGAGTTGGTCATTTCAGGAAATGGTAATTCAGTTCTTAAAGTTGGTCAGGGCGACCACATGAAAGTCCTCCTTGGTGTCTGTGGACATTTATGGACATCGAGGACCATCTACGGACCACTATGGCATCACTGGACATCTATGATGTCCATACAGTCACCTCTGACACCAATGGCACCTGTGAGGTAGAAGCCATGGGCTCTCTTTGCTCCCACCCCAAGTGCACCCCACATTCCATTGGCAAATCAACAACTACGAGTGTGAATCTGGTTGGCTCCACCTTCAAAATGTATCCAGAACCCAACTGTTTCACACCAAATTCACTGCTGTTTCCTTCACTCAGTTTGTTATATGGACCGACTTGTGCCCCCATTTCATGGGTGGAATCTTTAACTCCCAAAGTGGCTGTACTTGGTGTTTGGGCCTTTGGAGAAGGATGCAATGTTAAAAGGGGTCATTAGGGCAGGACTCAAAATGACTTAAACTTTCATAAGAAGAAGAGGCACCTAAAATTTGTGGACACATAAAAAAGGCCATGAGAGGACCCAGCAAGAAGGTGGCCATCAGCGAGTCAAAGAGAGCGTTTTCAGGAGAAACATTATACATCAGTAACATAATAATTTATAAAAATACAGATTTTACCCAAGCTTCCAGAACAGTTGGAAAGTGGGAGATATTTGCTGAAGGAAAAGACCAGTGCTCGGGTGCTGTGAATCATGTGCCCAAAGACCTCACCCCGGTGCCCACATTAGTCGGAGTTCAATGTGTAACTGAGAGCCAGAGTGAAGAGGGTGAGCAGGAACCGGGTGGGTGATGCAGGCGTGTGACAGGGTGGGGAGAGATGGCGGGTGATGCTGAGATGCGAGTGAGCAGGTGAGTGTGGGAGGCAGGAAGCACTGAAGGTGACTCTGGTTTTCCAGCCTCAAATGCCAGGCCAATTGGCCTGGGCCTCGACAGCTCAGTGCATTTCGGACTTGGGTGGGATGGGGTGGTGCTGTTTCATGGAAGCAATGCTAACATGCATGCAGGGGAGGAGAGGTGGAGAGGTGGCAGGCAGGGTGGAGCGGGACATCAGTAGATAAGGACTAAGAGGGTAGCTCAGCTCAAAGGGAGTGGTTGTGCTAAGCTGCGTTCAGAAGAAGCACGGACCTGCTTTGCAGAACCTTGGTGCAGGAAGAGCTGGTGGAAGACTGGGAGGGACAGAGACAGGTCTCTGATTGGGTGTCAGGGACAAGACCAGCGGGCAGGAGGAGGTCCAGCAGAAGTCTGTTTGTGGGAGTATTAACCACATCCTCTTTGTTATGACATCAAGGGCATGGCTCCCCTAGGGAAACTGTCCCTGCCAGAACTGGCCAATGGCTAGAGATAGGGAAGGACTTGCCTGCAAACGTAACAGGCACATGGCAAACCAGCCAGTCCAAAGGGCACAGCCCCCCACCACCCCCTTTATGGAGCTCTTACACCCCAGCCCCTTCCCCTCCTGCCCTAATCCCACCAGGACCAGGAACCAGGCAACAAGAGGCAGGCCCTACACCCTAGAGCCCACCGACATTATTCAAACCAGCCAGGCCCAAGCCTGCTTCCCCTGCCTCCCCTCCCCTCCCCCAGGGGATCCTCCATCAAGGATATGCCCACATGTCCCCTTCTCTCCTTCTGTCTGTGTCTGACCAGCCCTGAGCTGCCCTGTCTGGCCCTGTAGTGTGGCTTTCCCTCTGCCTCTTGGGAAGTGGGAGCAATAAATGGTGGTACTTGTCTCCCAGGTGTGTTGGCCTAATATACTGAATAACAATAAAATCTACATTTTCAAAAAAAAGTGCAATGTTGGAGACCTCATTTTTGTCCATGCCAGCTGGAGCTCAACTGTGGGCCACCCAGGGAAGAACATGTGGGGTGCAGGCTGCCCACCAGAAGCCCAGGTCACTCACCATGGGAGCAGGCACCATGGCAGTGTGGGTGTCGTCCACGCCCCCTGCTGGCCTGGCTGCTGTCTTCCTGCGGGTCCTCTTCACTCTGGGGGAGACACCAGGGTCTTTGACAGGAGGTCCCTCTCTGAGGCTGGAGTGCGTGGCTAGGGCAGGTGCAGGTGGGGCAGACCAGGAACCTTCATAACAAGACTTTCTAACCAGGTCCACCTGATTTTGGACATCTGGGACCACAGCTGGGAACACACTGAAGCCTGGCTCAGCAGCAGGATTCTCACCACTACTGAACCCCATCCTTCCTCCGGGACCTCCCAAGCCCTCCAGCCCCTGTTCTGCACCTCGGGCCCACACCCTATGCAGCTCACAGGAAGTAGGTGGCACAGAGGCAGCCAGCCAGCAGCGCAGTGACACCAGCTCCCACGACGGCCCCATGGACCACGCCTGCCCTGGTCTCTGGTTCCCCTGCACATGAGAGAGGCTCGGGGTGAGCTCCTTTCTGAACATGCAGGCTGTGTCCCTTCTCCTGGAGCATGAAGACAGGGGTGCCCCTTGGTTCCCATTCAGGCTCATCATTGCAGTCTCTCAGAACTCCAGCATGAAGGGCGTGATCTGTGGATACCCCCTTATCTGGTCTGATGCTCCTGGGCAGCACACCTCATCACTTCTGAAGTCAGGTCCCTCTCCACCTGAGTGTCTCTGAGGCAGACGCGCCCTGGCTGGACAGAACCTTACACCTCAGGGACATGTGGGCATTCCCTCAGAGACATGCAGAGAGCTGCAGGGTGCTGAGAGACCCACCTCTCCTTCCTTCCTGGGAAGCATTCTGCATCTTCTCTCCTCACCCCCTCTGGCCCTGTCACTCAGGGTCAAAGGTGGCCTTTGTGCCCCCAGAAAGGGGCACCATCAAGGAGGTTCTCAGACTTTCTGGGAAACCCCAAACTGCTCTCTTGCTTCCACCTAACCAGCCTCCCAGGAGCCCCATACCCACGGTCAGGGTGGTGTCTCTGGGCATCACCTGTCTGATGGGACCAACAAAGTCCCTGTCCAGTGGGGTGGGGACCAGATGCTGTCACCAATAGGAACAGGGCTGGGGGAGTGCTGGGCTCCAGAGACAGTCTGGGTCAGGGCCAAGAGGCTGACAGTCACTAAATAGGCCAAAGACATTATTCTGAGCATTGAAAATCTCTGTGTGATGCTGTAAAGGTGGACACAGCCCATCACACAAAGTCCAATCCCCCAGCATGTCCAGCACCGCAAGTGGACCCTAAAGTAGATTGTGAATTGTGGGTGATGGTGCTGAGTCTGCAGGTTCGTTGATTGTACACATGTCCCCTCAGGTGGCAGATGTGCTTGTAAGAAAGGGAGAAGCAGGTGTAGGGACAAACCTTTCATCTTCTGCTGATTTTCTCTGTGGACCTGTAGCTGCTCTAAACACTGTATCTCCTGGAAATGCCCCCAGCATGGGTGACTGAATGAAGAGCCTCCTTTAGGATGGGCAGGGAGGAGCTTGTGGGTCACCCTTGGGAGACAGCAGGAAAGGACATTGGGGAAGAGGCCTGAAGGAGGTTCCTCCATCTAACCGGGTCCCATCCCTCTGTTCGACTGGGGGAGACTTGCTCTGAGACAGCTGGGCACAGACCCCTCTTCACTCAACGCCAAATGAACAGGAGGCTCCTTCCCACCTGGGCCATCTCCTGAGCAGGCACTGATGGCTGGGTTGTTGGGGGCACCTAGGACAGGAAGAGAGGGGTTCCCTCTTCATTGGGTGGGACGGGATGAGACCCGTGTAGGCATCACCCCACCCTCGAACACCACATAAATGCAACACACACAGGGCTGTGGCCTCTGAGTCCCCTGCTGAGCCAGGCCTCCAGGACAAAGGTACCTGCACAGCAGCCTGGCTCTCCTGCTCCCACACCCTCAGGGACCCTACTGTTCTCACCCAGCACTCACAGGTGACGTTGAGCTGGATGGTTCTCTCCACAGTCACTCCCGCTGCAGGAAACCTCACCTGACAGGTGAGGTTGGTCCCATGGTCCTGAGGCCGTGGGGTGAGAGTGAGCACAGAGGACAGGTGGGTCCTGGACCCCAGGGAGGTGTGAGCAGCTGATGTCCAAGAGAAGAGGGGGGGTGTGCCCCGCTCACAGGCCCAGGGCACAGAGCAGGTCAGGTTTGTTGGATGGCCAGACTCCAGGTTTCCCAGGATAAGGATGTCAGGTGTGTGATTGAGGGCTGGTGAGGAGAAGAGGGGACAGGGTATCAGGAGTGGGGGTCCCAGGTGCAGCCCTGAGAGATGCCTCAGGCTTTGGTCCAGCTCCTCCCTCTGAGCCCCAACATGCTGTTGCCCTTCCCCCTACCAGGATGGGCCCATCCCAGCCCTGCCCCGGGGCAACCGTGAACTTCCCTGTGGCCTCTCTGGGAGCCGGTTCCTTACCCGTCACATGCACGGTGAGCAAGTTCCTTTGGTATGAATATTGCACGGAACTTCCTCTCTCCACTCGAAAAAAGTATGTTCCCTCATCGGTCCTCCTGGCATCTCTGATGTCCAGGGAGCAGTTGCGGCTCCCAGGATCCCCAAGGAGGAGGAATCGGCCCTGGGTCTCCTCCTGCACTTGACGATCTTGTTTGTTAGTGGCTGCAGGAGGATCTTGTAATTCCTTAGCCCCTTCCTGGAACCAGTAGCCGTAAGTAGGGGGAGGATCATAGCGGGAGGGCCATGGGTGTTGAAATGAGCAGAGCACAGAGACACACAGGCCCTCTTGCACCGTCACTGGCCCCTGTACGCTCAGCTTGTATCTGTCATCCCGAGCCAGAGACCCTGTGGGGAAAGCAGGGTCAGCAGCTGCCCTCACCCCCTGCCCCAACAGCCTTCCCCTCAGGCTCTCACCTGCCCACAGCAGGGCCAGCAGCAGTGGCAGCATCTCTGACAAAGAGGGTGTCTGACTCCTGTGGGTGAAAAAGGTGAAGGCTGTGGGAGGGGTCTGAGGGGAGACCACGGAAGCTGGGAGGAGCACGAGATCTCGTTTGTTAAGAAAAGAGGAACTTCTGAGCCAACATGCGTCCCTCTCTGCATGGAGCCTGTGGACACCCAGCAGCCCAGATATGCTGGCCACCTGCCCAGAGTAGAGCAGAAGGGGAGCCCACCTCAAGTTCTGCCCCCTCAGGGGCTCCCCTGCAGCCCGGAGCTGGACCAGGACCTCAGTATGGACACTTGAGTCTCCTAAGGGCCCTCATCAGAGGGGCTGGTCAACCCCCTGCCTGAGCAGGAGTCAGAACCTCATCTGGGAGCCGTGCTGGTTCCCACAGGGTGTAGGACTCGTGATGTTCCTGTGAGAGTCAGGGAGAGGGGAAGTGGAGGTCCCTGTGAGAAGGCAGTGCTCACTCACTCACTCACTCATTCATTCATTCACAAGCACTTGGTGAGCATCTAAGTGTCGGTTGGTTAAAGACAAGACGAGAGGGGATCCGTGGACCTGCTCTGTGTCCCAGAGAAAGCCCCACCACAGATATGTCTTCCTCCAACACAGGAAGGCTGTGGTCACTGGGGAGTTGACCACGTTTCAGCTCACACACTGGGTATTTTCTAAAAATAGAAGTGTGGGGTGTTTTAAAAATCTAGCATGGGGAGGAACAGCAAGACTGTTTTCTGAAGTAGATGCACAGTTTTGCAGTAGAGAGCAAAGCAAAAGAGATCCATTTCCCTCCCAAAGTTCTTCTTTTGTTTTTTAGTTTTTTTGTAACAGTCAACTTACAGAATCATGGGGAAACTTTCTTATGTCATTTAATTTATATTTATCTTATATTGGTAATATTGAACATATTTACATGCATTTATTGACCATTTATATGTCTTTATAGGAATGTCTACTCAAATAACTGGGCAAATTGTAAGTAAGGTTCTTTCTGGGTTTTTTTGTGGTTGTTGTAAATGACTATTTTTCTATAGTGGGGTTTATTTTTTGATTATTGCTTCACATGAATATCTTGGATATATTCTGAATTCAAGTCGTTCATGAAGTCTATATTATAGATATTTTTCTCCAAGTCTATAACTTTTCCTTTAACTCTCTTAAGAGTGGCTTTTGTAGAACAGCAAGCTCCTCTTCCCCCAGACATGTGCTCCTTATGAGGTAACCGTCTACTGCATCTGGATGTGGGAGAACAAGGCAAACTAAGTGTGGAGGGTGTAAGGGGACATTGATGAGGGGAAGCAGGTTACTTGGGCAGTGCAGAGGGTGAATACTAGCCACCAAAAGTCAGGGTGTTACTTGCAAACACTACCCGATGAGGGAAAAGGTCTTTGCAGATGCAACGGAGATGAGGATATTGACCTGGAGAGAATCCTCCCTTGTCAGGGTTGGTCCCTGAATGTAGCCACATGTGTCCTCCAAGGGAGACACAGCAGGTGACTTTCTGCATACAGAGCAGGATGAGGCAGTGTGTCCAGAGGACAGGCTGCAGTGACCCGGACACCAACCAAGGGTGGCTGAGAGCCACAGTCCCTGGAAATCACAAAGGTGGACTCTCCCCTGGAGCCTGTGAGGGCATCAGTCCCACTGACCACTGGATTTCCACACATCAGAACTCATTTCTTTACCAGGTCTCACGAAATATGACCCCAAGCATGGACACCTACACCTAGTCTTTCTCTGTTTCAGGGGTCTTAGTGAAGAACTTAGAAGGACAGAATGAGAAGGTATTTTACTTCCTGCATGAACTTCTGGCCCCAAGAACCAAGAGAATAAAACTTTACAAAAAAAGCCTCTGAGTGTATGGTAACTTGTTTAAATGGCCTTAGGAATGTAACACAGGCATAAATTCACAGGGCACCTCTGGGAAAAAAACGGAGAAGGAACCAAAAAAAGACCTCCTTCTCCAGACCCACTCCTCTGTTGCTCTTTGCAGACAAACTTCTCAGGGGTCTGGACCCTGGGATCCAATATCCCCTCCTCCAATTCCTTCTTGATCCTGCTCCAATCACATCTTCACACCTTTCCCACAAACCACTGAGAGCCAGTGATGACGTGTTTTCCTTGTGTCTTCTCTTCTCTGTGGGCCGCCAGAGCCTGTGCTCCCTCACCACTGCCACCCTCTCACACTGACACCTGTGCCCACATCTCTAGTCCTGACCACTTCCTCATGTCCATTGTTCACACCAGCTCTCTTGCTGATGTCCCCTGGTGGTCATGAGGTGACTTCTCAGAATGAACAACCCCTCAAAACCCCTCTCTGGTCCCTGAATCATACATCCTCCCTTCTGTGGCTCAGTGCTCTAGTGTCTTCAGTCAGTTAAATTCTATCCTCTTGTCTCCAGGAGGACAGCTTCTGGATGAAATGGATTTTGGTGCTGAGTTCATGTCGCATCTCCGGTGTTTATAACACTGCACACGGTAGGGGTTCAGTCACACTACTAAAGAGGCTATAAATGAACAAATAACTATTAGTTTGTTCAAAACTACATAGGAATTACACACATACTTTGAGGTGTAAGAATCTGAAGGGAATGGCATTTCAGCAGGAGGAGCAGCACATGCAAAGTCTCAGAGCCACAGAGGCCCTGGCCCGGCTGGGTACGGAGATGGTGTGAGATCCCAGAAGAGGGTGGAATCCAGTGGAGAGTCCAGTGTAGGGCACAGGCCACGCCAGTCCCAAATCCAGCCTGTGGAGATTGTTCCTCAGCCCCAGCCACAGAGAGGAATCATCCTTGTTAAAACTGTGGGGATGTGGAGGATAGGTGTGTGTGAAGACAGTCGGGAGGCCTGGGTTGAAGACAGAGGTCATTGCAGGACTTTTGGGGGTTCATAGGCCCAGGAAGAGATGAAGACCCGGGAACAACCAGGGTCAGGATGGGGAGGAGATGGACATCGATTTGAGCTGTGATAAGAAGGAAGGGTGGACAACACTTAGTGATTAATTGTATCAAAAAGAAGGAAGGGAGGGCACTGTGTCATCTGTGTGACAAGGACCCTGTAAAGAAGTAGGTTTGGGCAAAAATGATAGGTCAAGTATAACCATGCTGAGCAGAGCAATCCCAGGGACTATCCTGGAGGTGGTGTCACTGGAATGTTGGGTAGTGAGAATCCTGGATCACTCACCTGGGACATTAACCTGATTCTGTGTTTGTATCTTTCATGCCCCTTGTGAGCCTTGTCACCTTCCTCCTGTGGTACCTGACTCTGAGAGAAGAGACGAGGGTTTTCCAGTCTGGTTGGATCAGGGAGCAGTGGGCTGCAGACCCAACCCCCTGTCTCTTTCTCAAGGGACAGAGAGGAGAGTGAAGTGGGGGAGGGAAAGTCTCACAGATTATCTTGAGCACAGTAGGTGCCTCCTGGCCTGGATGCTCAGAAAGCTGTCCACGTGGGGTCCTCACCCACCATCCCTTCACCTCCTGCCAGCACAACCCCTGATTCATCAGTGTCCTGGGCCTTCACCCTGGACTCAACCACGGGCCCCTTGCTCTCCCCTCCTCTACATCCCCCCTGGGGCAGAGCTCACATGAGGACAATAAGGCAGAGAAGGAGGAGCAGGGTCTTAGCAGCTGCTTCCACAATGGCCACCAGCACCACCACTGCCCTGGGCCCTGATTTCCCTGCAGGAAAGAGAGACAAGGAGGGAGTCACCTACTCAATGGCAATCTTGGGTCCTTCAGGTCCACTGGGAACCTGGAGTTTGTCCTCCAGGCCTTCCTGCATCCATAGACTTGGGACTGCCTGTGCCTTTACCCCTGACCTTGCCCTGACCCCCGGCCATTGGACAGAAAATAAAAAGCCTCAGTTGGGATTCATCAAAAGAAAACATCCTGTTCATTAATTAACTCTATGGAGCAAATGAAAAGCCAACCCACTTAATGGGAGAAATATTTGATAATCCTAGATCTGGTAAGGCTTATTATCCAGCACATATGAAGAACTCTTACAGTCCTGGCTGGCAGCTCAGTTGGTTAAAGCATCATCCCAATGTGCCAAGGTTGTGGGTCTGATCCCTGGTCAGGGCATATACAAGAAGCAACTAATGAATCCATAAATAAGTGAAACAACAAATCGATGTTTCTATCTCTCACTATGTTTCCCCCTCTCTCTAAAATCAATTTACAGTATATCTCAAACAAAAAACATTTCTACAACTCAGCAACAGAAAGTCAAGCAGCCCCATTAAAAATGGGTAAAGGACTTGAAAAAATTGTCTTGAAGATGAATACAAATGAGCAGTAGTAACTACACAGGAAATAAATGGCTTCATTGTTATAACACACAAGTGCAAATCAAAGGGGTGTCGAAACAGCCTTCCACCTCCACTCATGACCTGTAATATTTTTCAAGGAGAATAACAATGCAGGTCACTGTGGGGAGAAATGGGAAGGCTTATACTTTGCTTTTGGGAACCTGAAATGAAGCTGCCACCATGGAGATCAGTCTGCAGTTTCTTCTAACAGTGACACACAGACACCACCCTGTGACCCAGCAACTCCACTTCCAGGCATATGCCCAGGAACATATGTTCCAACAAAAACAGCATAATCAGTATTCACAGCAGTATTCTCACCGTCAAAAATGGAAACACACAAAGGTCTGTCTACTGATGAATGGCTGAATGTGACACATCGGTACAATGGAGTGTTATCAAATAGTATGTGCAGAAGTTGTGTTATGGAATTGTCCACCTGAGCCTATGTGATAGTATTAGCCAGTGTCACCTCATTAAGTTCAATGAAAAGGTTAAAAAAAAAAGAAAAACATTAAGAATAAAGACATTAAAGATGATAGCACAAAAACTAACTGTGAGCCTGGGGAACTCATCAGGAGAAGGTCTATCAGGAGCCCCGAGAGGCTGCTCTGCATGTGGGAGGTGCCTTGTTCTCCTGGTGCAGCTGTCAGGGGCTGGAGAGTCCTTGGTTTGGGGGTGGCCAGTTTGACAGCTGCTCACAGTGGCCAGGGGGAGGAGTTAGAAGAGGGAGCACTCTGTTCTTAGGGTGCTGGGCACCCAGGTGAACCAGGGTGAGGGAGACTCCTGGCTCTGCCCTGACTTGGAAGAGGCCGAGCTCCCTGCAGCCCATAAAGGGCTCTTTCCTACCTGGGCCGTCTCCCTCGAAGACACCAATTGCTGGGTTCTGGGGGGCACCTGGGACAGGAAGAGAGGGTGGGATGGGGTGAGACATGTGCAGGTAACTCCCCATCCCCCATCATCAGAGACCACAGAAATGCAGGACACACAGGGCTGTGCCCTCTGGGTCCCCTGCTGAGCCAGGCCTCCAGGACAAAGGCACCTGCACAGCAGCCTGGCTCTCCTGCTCCCACACCCTCAGGGACCCTGCTGTTCTGACCCAGCACTCACAGGTGACGTTGAGCTGGATGGTTCTCTCCACAGTCACTCCCACTGCAGGAAACCTCACCTGACAGGTGAGGTTGGTCCCATGGTCCCGAGGCCATGGGGTGAGAGTGAGCACAGAGGACAGGTGGGTCCTGGACCCCAGGGAGGTGTGAGCAGCTGATGTCCAAGAGAAGAGTGGGTGTGTGCCCCGCTCACAGGCCCAGGGCACAGAGCATGTCAGGTTAATGGGGTGGCCACACTCCATGGTTCCTGGGATCAGGATGGCAGGTGTGTGATTGAGAGCTGGTGAGAAGAAGTGGGGACAGAAAATCAGGAGTGGGGGTCCCAGGTGCAGCCCTGAGAGAAGCCTGAGGCCTTGGTCCAGATCCTCCCTCTGAGCCCCACTATGCTGTTTCCCCCTCCACCTCCCAGGATGGGGCCATCCCAGCCCTGCCCCGGGGCCACAGTGAACTTCCCTGTGGCCTCTCCTGGAGCCTGTTCCTTACCCGTCACACGTACAGTGAGCTGGTTCTCTTTGTAACTGTGTTTCACAAAGTGCCCTCTCTCCACCCTGAAGAAGTATGTCCCTGTGTCTCTTCTCTGTGCATCTCTGATGTCCAGGGAGCAGCTGTAGTTGCTGGGATCCTGAAGGAGGAGGAATCGGCCCTGGGTCTCCTCCTGCACTTTACAGTCTTGGTTGTTTGAAGCCACAGGGGCATCTGAGTTTGGATTAGCCCCTTCCCAGAACCAGTAGCCATATGCAGGGTAAGCAGTATACCAGTGGAACTTCCAGTGGTGGAATGAGCAGGGCACAGAGACACACAGGCCCTCCTGCACCGTCACAGACCCCTGTACTGTTAGGTTGTATCTTCCATCCTGAGCCAGGGACCCTGTGGGGAAAGCAGGGTCAGCAGCTGCCCTCACCCACCCACAGCCTTCACCTCAGGCACTCACCTGTCCACAGCAGGGCCAGCAGCAGCAGCAGCATCACTGACAGGGAGGGTGTCTGGTTCCTGTTGCTGGAACAGAATGAAGGCTGTGGGAGGGGGCTGTGGGGAGACCACTGATGCTGAAAGGAGCACGAGATCTTGTTTGTTTACAAAAGAGGAACCTCAGACCCAAAGTGGGTCCTTCTCTGTACAGAGCTAGGGGACACCCGGAAGCCCAGACATGCTGGCGCCCAGGGAAGAGCAGACAGGGAGTTGACTGTGAGTTGTGCCCACCTTGGGGCTCCCCTGGAGCACTAGAGCAGGACCAGGACCTCTGAGTACAGACACGTGAGTCTCCTAAGGGCCCCCATTAGAGGGGCTGGTGAACCCCTGCTTGAGCAGGAGTCAGAGCCTCATCTGGGAGCTGTGCTGGGTCCTACAGGGTGTGGGACTCGTAATGTTCCTGTGAGAGTTGGGGAGGAGGGAAATGGGGGTCCCTGGGAGGAGAAGGCAGCACTCACTCACTCATTCATTCAGTCATTCAGTCATTCATTCACTCATTCATTCATTCACCAGCACTTGGTGAGCATCTAAGTGTTGGTTGGCTGAAGACAAGACAAGACAAGACAAGAAGGGATCTGTGGACCTGGTCCATGTCCCTAAGAAAGTCCCCAGCACAGACATTCCTTCCTCCCAAAACACAAAGGCTGTTGACCACGTTTCCTTCTCACACAGTGTTTTTTTTTTCCTAAAAATATGAGTGTGGGGTGTTTTAAAAGTTTAATATGAGGAGGACATGCAAGACTCTTTTCCAAAGCAGATGCACAGCTTTGCAGTGGAGACCAAATCAGAAGAGGTCAGTTTCCTTCTCATTCCTTCCCAGAGTTCTTTCGTTTTTTAGTTTTTTTGTTTTTGTTTTGTTTTGTTTTGTTTTGTTTTGTTTTTTTGGTAATAGTCAACTCACAGAATCATGGGGAAACTTCCTTGTGTGATTTAATTTAAATTTATCTCATATTGGTAATGTTGAACATATTTTCATGTATTTATTGACCTTTTGTATGTCATCATGGTAATGTCTGTTCAAACAATTGAGCAAATTTTAAGTAGGGACCTTTCTGGTATTTTTGTTGTTGTTGTTGATAATGACCATATTTCTACATGGGATTTATTTCTTGATTATTGCTTCATAAAAATATCTTGGATATATTCTGGGTTCAAGTCATTCATGATGTGTATATTGTAGGTATTTTTCTCCAAGTCTGTAACTTTTCCTTTAACTCTCTTAACAGTGGCTTTTGTAGAACAGCAAGCCACTGTTCTCCAGACATGTGCCTCTCACCAGGTGACCCTCTAATGCATCTGGATGTGGGAGAACAAGGAAAACTAAGTCTGGAGGACAGAGGGGGACATTCATGGGGACAGCAGGTCACATGGGCAGTGAAGAGGGTGAATATTGGCCAACTGAAGACAGCCTGGTACCTGCAAACATTGCTTGATCAAGAAAGGGGTACTTGCAGATGGGATGGAGGTGAGGATATTGACCTGGAGAGGATCCTCCCTTGTCAGGGTTGGTCCCTGAATGTAGCCACACGTGTCCTCCAAGGGAGACACAGCAGGTGACTTTCTGCACACAGCAGGATGTGGCATGTGGCCAGGGGACAGCCTGCAGTGACCCAGACACCAACCAAGGATGGCTGAGCACCACCTCCTGGGAATCACAAAGGTGGACTTTCCCCTCGAGTCTCTGAGGGTGTGAGTCCCACCAACCACTATGTTTCCACACATCAGAACTCATTTCTCATCATGGGGTTCAGGATATGGGACCCCAAGATGTGACACCTAGTCATACTCTGTTCCAGGCACCTCAGCTGAGAACTCCGAAGCACACAGGGAAAAGATATTTCATTCTTACATGAATTTGTAGTTCCCAAATTTAAGAGAATAAAACTTCTTTATAAAACAGTCACTGAGTGTGTGGTAGTCTGTTTCAATAGTCCCAGGAAAGCAACACAAGCATGAATTCATGGGGCACCTCTGGGAAAAAGCAGACAAAGAACCGAGAAAGGACATCCTTCACCATATTTACTCTTCTGTTCCTCTTTGCAGACAAACTTCCCAGAGGGTTTTCTGGACCCTGGGATCCCATATCCCTGCCTCCAGTTCTCTGCTCACCCTGCTCCAATCACATCTTCACACCTTTCCCACCAACCACAGAGACCCAGTGAAGACCTGTTTTCTTGTGTCTTCTCTTCTCTGTGGGACCCCTCACCACTGTCACCCTCTGACAATGACACACGTGTCCCCATCTCCAGTCCTGACCACTTCCTCATCTCCATCATTCACACCAGCCCTCTCGCTGATGTGCCCCGGTGGTCATCAGGTAGCTTCTCAGAATGAATGTCCCCTCAAAACCCCTCTCATCCCTGAAACACAGGCCCTCCCTTCTCTGGCTCAGTTCTGTAGTGTCTTCAGTGATTTAAATTCTATCCTCTTGTCTCCAGAATGACAGCTTCTGGATGACAAAGATATTGATTTTGTGTCCGTAGTTGCATCCCCAGGACTTATAACAAAGCTGGCACAAAGTAGGTGTTCAGTTGTACTTGCAAAGAGGATATAAATAAATAACTACCCTACGTATTTACAGGAATCACACACACACACACACACACACACACACACACACACGGTGACTTTTCATTGAGACAAAGGATGATCAGCAGTTAGAGATGTAGGAATCAGAAGGGAAGGGCATTTCAGCAGGAGGAACTGCACGTTCAAAGTCTCAGAGTCACAAAGATCCTGGCTCGGCTGGGAGCAGAGATGGTGTGAGACTTCAGAAGAGGGTGGAATCCAGTGGAGAGTCCATCAGGGCAGAGCCAACACCAGCCCTACATTCAGCCTGTAGAGTTTGCCCCTGGTCCCTGGCCACAGAGAAGAAATATTGTTGTTCGTACCGTGCAGAACCTGAAGGACAGGTCTCTTCAAACACAGTTGGGAAGCCTGAATTGAAGACAGAGGTGGTGGCAGGACTTTGTTGGGTTCATAGGCCCAGAATGAGAGGAGGCTACAAGAATGACCAGGGTCAGGATGTGGAGGAGATGGGCATTGAGGTGGGCCGTGACAAGAAGGAAGGGTGGACAAGACTTAGTGACTTATATAATCATGATGAAGGAAGGGAGGGCATCCCCGGTCCTGGCCCTGCACTCAGCCTTGGGCCCCTTGTCCTCCCCTCCCCTCCCATCCCTCTGGGGCAGGGCTCACAGGAGGATGATGAGGCAGAGCAGTAGAAGCAAGATCCTAGCAGCTGCTTCCACAGTGGTCACCAGCACCACCCTTGTGCCTGGCCCTGATTTTCCTGCAGGAAAGAGGGATGTGGAAGGAGTCTCCTGCTCAGTGGCAATGCTGTGTCCTTCGGCTCCACTGGGAACCTGGAGTTCATCCTCCAGGACTCCCTGCATCCATAGACTCAGGACTGCCTGTGCCTTTACCCCTGACCCTGCCTGACCCCCGGCAGTTGGACTGAAAAAAAAGGCCTCAGTTGGGATTCATCAAAATAGAACATCCTGTTCATTAATTAGCTCTATAGAGAAAGTGAGAAGCCAACCCACTGAATGGGAAAAATATTTCCTAATCATAGATCTGATAAGGCTTATTATCCAGCACATAGAAAGAACTCTTACAGTCCTGGCTGGTGGCTCAGTTGGTTAGAGCATCATCCCAATGTGCCAACACTAGGGGTTCAATCCTGGTCAGGGCACACAGAAGAAGCAACCAATGAATCCATCAATAAGTGTAACAACAAATTAATGGTTCTCTTTCTGTCCCTTCCTGTCTCTGTGAAATCAATTTAGAAAACAAATCTTCAACAAAAAGCATTCTTACAACTCAACAACAAAAGTCAAACAACCCAATTAAAAAGTGTGCACAGGGTTAAATTGTTCTATAAAATTAATATAAAAAATGGGCAAAGGACTTGAAAAAATTGTCTTCAGAGATGAATACAAATGGACAGTAACTCCACAAGAACATAAACAGCTTCATTGTTATGACACACAAATACAAATCAAAGGTGTATTGAAACAGCCCTTCACCCCCACTCATCACCTATATAATATTTTTCAAGGAGAATAACTATGCAGGTCACTGTGGGGAGAAATGGGAAGGCTTATACTTGCTTTTGGGAACCTGAAATGAAGCTGCCATCATGGAGATCAGTCAGCAGTTTCTTCTAACAGTGACACACAGACACTACCCTGTGACCCAGCAACTCCACTCCCAGGCTTATGCCCAAGAACGTATGTTCCAACAAAAATAACATAACCAGCATTCACAGCAGTGATCTCACCGTCAAAAATGGAAACACCCAAATGTCTGTCCACTGATGAGTGGGTGAATGTGACACATTGGTACGATGGAGTGTTATCAAATACTGTGTACAGAAGCTGTGTTATGGATTTGTCCACCTGAGCCTATGTAATTTTATTAAACAATGTCACCTCAATAAGTTGAATGAAAAAGTAAAAAAAAAATAAGGAAAAATTAAGAATAAATACATTAAAAACTATGGGAGGGAAACTAAACGTGAGGCTGGTGGACTCCACAAGCTACATGCTGAACAGGCCCCAACTCTGCTTCAAGGCCTCATCCCCTCTAGGCCCAGGGTCCCCAGCACGGACCCCCACACTCCCCTGTCCTGGCAACAGCAGGGCCCAGATGATCTGGGTTCCTGGCATCCTGAGGCCGAACTGGAGTTGCTGCTGGGTGGAGCTGCTGGGGCTGGGCCCAGCTGAGCTGAGGTCATCGCTGGCCTGGACTAGCTCCTACCCCTTCCCCATCCTCTCTCACATCTCCCGAGCAGGGGCAACCCACACACCAGCCGCCAAAGCTCACTTGGTACTGAGACACAGGGATACCTAGGCTTCAGCAGATGTCGCACTCAGAAGGTGAGCTCCCCTGTCTGCAGCCCCTACCCAGGGCAGGCCCACGCCCTCAGGGAGGGAGGATTCTCACCAGGTCCCACGGTGAGGGCTGAGCTCAGGACAGTTAATATTGAGCCAATTAGATGGACAGCAGTGTGTGAGTCCCATAGAGTCGCTGAGGGGGAGGAGGACCTCACACCACGCAGGCCCCCAAGGGCTGCCCTCAGCAGCTGCCTGAATGAGTACCTGAATGACACAGGCGGAGGATCTGCAGTGAGGGGTCTCCCGGTTCCCGTGGGGGGTGCGGACAGGCTTGCCTGCATGACTCTGCCCGCTGACTGGGAGCTCAGCATTTTGTAACCACATACCAAGGACTGGGCATTTCACACAACAGAAATGTATTCAAGCCTGGGAAGTCCAAGTTCGTCTGTCAGCAGATGTGGTTCCTGGTGTGAGCCCACCTCCTGGCTTGCTGGTGGCTGACTTCTCCCCATCCTCATGTGGCCTTTTTATTTTGCATGTGGGAAGAGGAAGGGGAGATTGCTTTCTGTTCCTTTTCTGACAAGGACATCAATCTTCAGGGGGCCGATATCATGAACTCTTTAACCTCAACTATTCTGAAATAACAATCATGTCACTTCAACAGATGGATTTGGGGGGACCTGATTCAGTCTATATCTCCATGGGGTCCCCATAACCCATCCATCCTTGTCCTTACTGTAGGCAGTTCATTACCTGTTGTGTGCAGAGTCTGTCTTCCCCTATTGCAAGTTTCCTTCCCTGCTTTGCAATAATCTCACTCCCTCATTGCAATGATCCCTGCTAAAAAAATCCTCACCTGAGGATATGTTTTTATAAGAGAGAGACAGAGAGAGATGTTGATCAGTTGCCTCTCATATGCATCTGAACCAGGGACCCAAACTGTAACCTAGGCATGTGCCCTGACCAGGAATGGAACCAGCAACCCTTTGGTGTAGGAGATGATGCCTCAACCAACTAAGCCACTTGCCAGGACTTGTGATAATCCTTCTGAATAAAGTCTCTCCTTGTCTAGTTCCAGATTTATTTTTTAAATATATTTTATTGACTGTGCTATTACAGTTGTCCCATTTCCCCCCTCTTACCCCTCTACCCTGCTCACCCTCTCCCATCCACCTTACCCCCTTTAGTTCATGTCCATGTGTCATAACTGCTTTAGTTTCTACATTTCCCGTACTATTCTTGCCATCTCCCTGTCTAGTTTCTACCTACCATCTATGCTACTTATTCTCTGTACCTTCTCCCCTCTCTCCTCCTCCCACTCCCCTGTTGCTAACCCTCCATGTGATCTCCATCCCTGTGGTTCTCTTCCTGTTCTAGTTGTTTGCTTAGTTTCTTTTTGTTTTTGTTTTAGGTGTGGTTGTTAATAATTGTGAGTTTGCTGTCATTTTACTATACATGTTTTTTGTCCTCTTTTTCTTAGATAAATCCCTTTAACATTTCATATAATAAGGGCTTGGTGATGATGAACTCCTTTAACTTGACCTTATCTGAGAAGCATTTTATCTGCCCTTCCATTCTAAATGAAAGCTTTGCTGGATAAAGCAACATTGGATGTAGGTCCTTGCCTCTCATGACTTGGAATACTCCTTTCTAGCCCCTTCTTGCCTGCAAGGTCTCTTTTGAGAAATCAGCTGACAGTCTAATGGGAACTCCTTTGTAGGTGACTGTCTCCTTATCTTTTGCTGCTTCTAGGATTCTCTCCTTCATTTTAATCTTGGGTAATGTAATTATGATGTGCCTTGGTGTGTTCCTCCTTGGGTCCAACTTCTTCGGGACTCTCTGAGCTTCCTGGACTTCCTGGAAGTCTATTTCCTTTGCCAGATTGGGGAGGTTCTCCTTTATTATTTGTTCAAATAACTTTTCCACTTGTTGCTCTTCTTCTTCCCCCTTCTGGTATCCCTATAATGTAGATGTTGGACATTTAAAGATGTCCTGGAGGTCCCTAAGCCTTTCTCATTTGTTTTGAATTCTTGTTTCTTCATTCTTTTCTGTTTGGTTGTTTCTTTCTTCCTTCTGGTCCACTCCATTGATTTGAGTCCCAGTTTTCTTCCCATCACTATTGGTTCAATGTGCATTTTCCTTCATTTCACTTAGTGTAGGCTTCATTATTTCATCTAATTCATGCTCAATTCTGTGAGCATCCTGATCACCAGTGCTTTGAACTGTGCATCTGATAGGTTCGCTATCTCTTGGTCGCTTAGTTGTATTTGCTGTGGAGCTTTGATCTGTTCTTTCTTTGAGCCATTTTTTTCTTGTCTTGATGTGCCTGTTACCTAGTGAGGGGTGGAGCCTTTGGTGTTCACCAGGGCAGGGCAACCCAGTCACTGGGTTGTGACTTTGTATGTGGGGGAGGGAACAAGAGGAAACAATGGCGCTTGCTCTGCTGTCTGTTGGCTTTCAGTCCCTTCCACCTCTTCCCCCAAGGAAACTGGGCCTTCCTGGTGCTAATTCCCATGTGGGTGGACTTGTGCACATTCTAGGACCCTTTGGTCTCTCCAACAAACTCTCCTGTGAGGTTGGGAGTCTCTCCCAGCACCTCAACCCCCACAGGTGTTTTTAATCAGTGCCCCAAGGCCACATTTCAGGGCGTTGGGATCCTGGATTTCCAGGTCTGTCTCACTCCCCAATTTTGCCTGGTTTATCTGCTCGTGAATGTGGGATCGCCCTGTGAGCCCTGCATGCAGTGCCTCGCTTCACAGTCACTGCCTGGCTGGGTCTGCCCATTTCCACCCTGTGCCCGGGGTCTGCCAGCAGGTGACGGTACTCCCAGTATCTGCCTGCTGCAGTCTTGGGTGCCCAGGATGCCTTACCCGCCCGGTGCCACTGTTTTTTGTGTCTCGACCCCTCTCCACCCAGCTGCCCAACTCTGCCCTTCCTACCCGTCTGAATCAATGTGTCTATTTTAACTCATTGGTTGTCCAACTTCCATACAGTTCAATTTTCTATCATTTCTGGCTGTTATTTTGTTTCTAAATTGTTGTTATCCTTTTTTGGTTGTGCGAGGAGGCACAATATGTCTACCTACCCCCCATCTTGGACATCTTGGATGGAAGTCCCAGATATGTTTTTCACATGACAGACTGAAGGCTGAAGGCCAGCCTCCTCTGCCCGGCTCTGCAGCCCTTGGAGAGCAGACCCCAGACACACATCCAGGGGCATGACCCCACCTTGTCTCCTTTACCCCAGGCTCCAGCTATCGCACATGGACTGCTCCTGCCCAGACAGTGGCCAGGACCTCTCCCAGCCTCATGTTTGTGCCTGATGCCACCACTGCCAGGGACGCTTTCCCTCCTGTCTCTGCTTTGCCAACCCCTGCTTTCCCTTCAAGGTGCATCTCAAGAGGGGTTTCTCCTGAGAAGCCTTTTCTCACTCCTTTTCCACCCCTGAGGACAAAGGCCAGAGCTCTGGTCCTTGGACCCCCAGGCCATAGGAACCTCATCTCACTGTGTTTTAACATTTTACATATTTCTGTGCCTTCCCCAAACCCCAGACCATGGACTTGAGCCAACCTGAGGTAGGAACTGTATCTTCTTGCTCTTACTGTTTCCAGCATACAATGGACATGAAGTAAAAGTTGAGAGAACAAAGAAATGGGGAGAAAAATAAGGGTTTCTCAGTGTTTCCCTCATGAATGTGATGCAAAGGAGCTGAAATGAACTTTTGTTATCAAATGAACCAGGAGTAAAGGTTCAGGTGGTGGACAGGGTGTGAATGAGGTGTGTGGGGGTTGGTGTGGCTGAGAGAGTGGCATGATGATGGTGAGGTTCTCAATCGTCCTGAACACCTTACTGAGTGGATACCTTGAAAGTGGCAGGTGGGGAAGGATGTCTAGCCAGGGGAGGAGCAGAACTGGAGTTGAGTGTTAGAAAGTTCCCTGTTCTACTGGACTTTTGTTTTGGAGTGGCTGGCATGGATCAAACTACTTGAAAGAACCATCCAGAGGGCAGGAGACAGAGACCCTTAGCAAGCACATCCTCCTGCCTGTGGCTCAGCCAGGTGGGGCAGACAGACATCCTCCTCAGGACAGACAAAGCCTGAGAGTGAACAGGAGAGGGGGGAGATGGAGCCGAGAGAGGAGCCCAGCCCAATGACTCCTGATTGTCGGGTCCCCACAGATCCATCTACTTCCACACCTTTCCCCTCCTGGCCCCAGACTGGGACAGAAGCCTCTGGGGCCAGGTCCTTCTGCAGAGTTGGGAGGCTGGTACCTGAGCTCGCCTCAGGACCCGGTTTCAGCATCACAGACAGCCCTGCTTCTCCCTGGGTTGCAGTGTCTCCTGGTGGATGGAGTGCCCCCTGGAGGCCAGCTATCTACCAGGCCCAGAGCAGAGTGGGAGGGGCTGGGTGAGGGGCTGGTGACTCCTAGGTCAGTGATGCTGGTTACAAGTGTTGTGATTTCTGGGGTGCCACTCTCCTCAGACGTGGGCTCTTCTCCCGCACGGAAGTCAACTGGGTACTAGATGCTGTGCTACCTCATTAGGTGGGAATAATGAAGCCAGACTTGGAGCATCACTGGAGGGGAGCATTCATCACTCAAAGTGGGGTCCTTATGACACTTGACAGCTGTTCCAAGACCTTAGGAGAAATCAGGTTTCCTTTTAGCTTTTTATCTGTCTTGCTAGAGGCGAGGAAAGGAGGCAGATTCCTTTGGATGCTGGAGCAGAGATGCTGAAGAACTCACTGAAGCAAGTGGGATACAGCTGGACACCCTACTGTCCCACCAGCATCACTGGCTCTGGTTCTGCTCTCTCAAATGGGGTGACTTGCCTCCCACAGAACACAGTTCCCCTTCCAACCCCCCAGCTCACCTGCCCCATCCCCCACATCCACCATCCCTCCTTTCTCAGGTTCCCCCAGACCACCCTCCCCTTGTGTCAGCCCTGACCACCCAGGCTGTGACTCTGTCCCTGCTCCCCACTCCAGGTCCAGCAGGGTCTGCCTCACCTCAGCCCATCACCTAAAGAACACCCTGCTCCACAGTTGGGATGCAGGTACCCAAGATATAGGCGCAGTGACAGGACTGTCCAGCAAAGCGAGCAGCCAGAGCAGAGCCCGGGGGGGTGGGGGCTGGTGCTGCCCTGGGGAGAGGAGAAGTGGGGTGGTGTGGTGAAGCTGCAGCCCTGCAGAGTGCACAGGAGGGGGAGGAGAAACAGGGGTTTCCTCCTGTTACCAAGTCCTTCCCTCCGCTCTCCTCCTCCCACCCACAGAGCAGCCCCACCCTACAGACGTGCCCTGTGTGGACCGTGTCCACTGTGGTCCAGGCCAGGCAGCTCCCCACAATTTACTTGTAGGAAAACCTCCATCTTCTTGGCAACCTCCTGTTTTCCCTGGCTCGGGCTGTCATAACACAGTGCCCCACTAGGGGTGATAACCAGAGCAATTCATAGTCTCACAGTTCTGGAGACAGGAAGTTCAACATCAAGGTGTTGGTAGGTCTGGTCCCCTCTGAGGCCTCTCTGCTGGGCTTGCAGACAGTTCTTCCCCTGTGGTCTCTCCTCTGTGCGTGTCTGTGCCCTAACCTCTCCTTATAAGGACACCAGTCCTATTGGATGAGGGTCTACCCTAGTGACCTCATTCTACCTTAATCTCCCTAAAAGACCCCATCTCCAAAACTACTCACATTCAACAGTAGTGGGGGTCATGGCATGAACAGTTGAGTTTTGGGGGTGACAGAATTCAGCCCACAGCACTTTGTGATCCTGGGCATCTGACTGGGCACAGAGCAGTGAGGCCTTTCCCGAGGCAGCACAGTGAGCATGGAGGAGCCAGGATGGAGCCCAGGGCCGTCTGGCTGGACAGCCTGCACACCTGACCCCACCCTGGAGGTCTCCTCTGAGGAAGCCCAGGACCGAGTTGGCCATCAGGGGATGGGCACTGAGGGCTGGACTTAGAGTGACCACTGACGATTGGGGGGGTCCGGCACCTGCCCTTACCTAGGGTTCTCCCATAGACACCAAGGGCTGAGGACTGTGATGCCTCCTGTAACAGATGAGGAAAGTGAGGCTTGGAGGGCAGAAGAGCCAGGACCACCTGACTGCAAAGGCACACTGTGCTGGCATCTTGCTCTGAATCAACACCAGGGATGCCTGGGCAGGGGGGCTATAAGCAGGACAGCAAGCTGAGGACCACTTGTGGGGTCACAGGATGCTGACCTCCTGGGTGGCCTGGTCCTGTCCTCTGTGGCCATTATCACCTGGGAGCTCACTGTCAACTGCCAAGAGTAAATGGGTTTCCTACACACCCTGGCCTGTGCTCCCACCAACTCGCCCTGGACCACTGGGAGCTGCCATGGCCTGGGGCCCTTCTGCCTCCTCAGATGTGTGGGTGACTGTCAGGGACAGGGACAAAGGCTGCCACAGTCTCCACTTTGACTCCGCACCCCTGAGGCAGTAGATGCTCTGGTGGGCTGTGTATTCATTCCTTCATCCATCACCACCTGTCTAACCTGAAGAACTATGTCACATTTCATGTGACATAGGGGACTAAGGTCCCCTGTCAGACCCTTCTGAGTCCCACAACCAGGGGACTGATCCTGCATATTATACAAAAACTGTGCCTGCTTTACTGTGTGGACAGTAGTGCCAGAGGGGCAGGCCAGGACAGGAAGTTGAGTGGTGGGGTGTGTCTTCCTTGGTGCATGGGCACCTCACAGGGACCCCATCTGGAAAGTGAAAGTGCTTATTCTCCAAGGGCTGGGCCAGCTCCACCACATGGGCTGCCCACTTCCTACTCCTGATCATCACCTTTCTTCCTCCCCCCTGGCTGCCTGTTGGGGCTTCCTCTCAGTCCTGTGACACAGAGACCCTGACACTTACCCCAGACATGCTGCTGCTGCTGCTGCTGCTGGCCCTGCTGTGGGCAGGTGAGTGCCCCAGGGGAGAGTGTGAGGGCTTGTGTGGAGGCTGTGGCTGACTCTCCTTTCCCTGCAGGGTCCCTGACTCAGCATCTAGGATTCTGGCTGCGAGTTCAGGAGTCTGTGATGTTGCAGGAGGGCCAGTGCATCTCCGTGCCCTGCACTGTGTCCTACCCCAAGATAGGCTGGACTGAGGCTGCCCCAGCTCATGGCTACTGGTTTCTGGAAGGGGCTGAACCAAACTCGGATGCTCCTGTGGCCACAAACAACCCTAATCGCAAAGTGAGAGATGAGACCAGGGGCCGATTCCACCTCGTTGGGGACCCCCGGACCTCCCACTGCTCCCTGCACATCAGAGACGCACAGAAAAGGGACACAGGGAGATACTTCTTTAGGGTGGAGAGAGGGTCCTATGTGAAATACAATTACATTCAGAAACAGCTCTCTGTACATGTGACAGGTAAGAAGTGGGGTCCAGGTGAAGACACATGGCTGGGTCCTGAGGTCTCCTGGGCTGGGAAGGAACCTGATTCTCCTCATCCTGGGATGGACTCAGGGACACCAATGGGGAGTGGATCCAGGGGCTGGCCTGGCACAGAGGCTGCAGTTTAGGGCACACTCGGGGATCCCACCTCCAGGGACTCAGTGTCTGTCTCTCTCTTCTCCAGAGCTGGTGCCTGACATCCACATCCAGGGCACCCTGGAATCTGGACACCCCAACAACATTACCTGTACAATGTCATGGGCCTGTGACAGAGAGACACCACCCATCTTCTACTGGATGGGGGCCAACCTCACACTCCTGAGTGTCTGGACTCCCAACTCCTCAGTGCTCACCCTCACACCAGGGCCCCAGCACCACGGGACCAACCTCACCTGTCAGGTGGCCTTGCCAGGTGGTGAGATCAGGGAGAGGACCATCCAGCTCAATGTGACCTGTGAGTACCTCAGCAGTCACTGGCAGTGGAGGGAGTTAGGGGTTAGGGAGCTGGGCCCTGCAAACCCTGGATGCAGAGGAAGGAAGGAGGACACCCAATTTCACTCCCTTCCTGTGTATACAGTTTGTGGATGGAGAGGAATATTGCTCACCTTTCTGCCACTAAACAGGGAACAATTATGTCTGTCTGTCTGTCCAGATGCACTCCAGAACCTAACCATCATGTCCTGGAAAGAAGGCACAGGTAGGGTGCATCTTCTCCTGTCTGGGGGTGGTGGATGTGGGTCTCCCTGCATCCTTCAGAGCAGAGCTGGGATTTCAGAACTCAGATGGGAGACAGACTCAGGCCAGGTGAGAGGACAGCAGAGGTGAGAAGGCTCCCACTCACTCCTTCTCAGCTTAAAAAGTGGCCTCCTTACCCCGAGCCCATCACGGGACACTGCATGAGGTTCTCAGATGTACAGCACTGTGGTCAGACATTCACAGAACTTACAAAGGGATAAGTTAACTCCACACTGGCACCATCCATAGTTATTACAATATTATTCACTATATTCTCTCCGTTGTACTTTACATCTTATGACTATTTTTTAATGGGCAATTTGTAATACTGTGTTTTAAATCTCCCTGAATTTCTCCTAGTAGCCTCATGTAAACACCTCCAACATGGCCACTCAGTCGGGCCTCACAGGGCCACTTGCTTCTCTGGGAGCAGCAGGGGGCCATGTCACACCCTGGTGGTGGCTGTGATCTGTGCCATCCTCCCACCATGTCCTCCATGCCAGCACCATCGCCTGGCCAGCTCCCACCCTTTATTGTGGTCTGCTTAAGCCTCTTCTCCTCCAGAAAGGCCTCCCTGACCTGCCAGTCTCATTCAAGTCAGGTCCTCAGGGCTCTCTCAACACAGTTAACCCCCCATCATAAACTATACCCTACTGCTCTGTGAGAACCTGCTTTTGGGGTATCTTGTTCATGAGACTGTGAGCTGTGAGACACAGCTGAACTGGGCAGGTCACAGTGTACCAGTGTTGACAGGTGTAAATGACAAAGTTCATCCAGAGAAATCTGGGGTCTGCGTTGGCACTGGTGGCCAAAGCAGGAGGTGTGGGGATCAGGGTGGTCCAGCCAAACACTAAGCAGCCTCTTGCAGAGGCTGTAGTGTCTGCCCTTAGCCCTGTCCATTTGGGCTGAGCCCAGATGGTAGAGCCCATTGGGATTATGGAAGAGGAGAAACTGATACATATAATCTAAGGAAGTGGGAGAGAGAACACCACACAGAGATGATGACAGAGACAGAGAGAGAGGGAAATATAGACATGGAAAGAGAGGCAGACATATAGATGAAGAGGGAGATTGAAGGGGAGAGAGCCATGGAGGTGAAGAGAGAGGCAGAGCCACAGAGAGGCAGAGGACCTACAGACAGGAAGAGAGGGAGACAGAGGGAGACCTAACCACAGAGGGGCCGGACCCTCTCTCTGTCTTGCCAGGATATAGAGTTTTGTCCAACGGCTCATCGCTCCAAGTCCAGGAGGGCAAGTCCCTGCACCTGGTGTGTAAAGCTGATAGCAACCCACCCACCAGCACGAGGTGGACCCGGGGCAGCCTGACCCTGGAGTCCACAGACCCAGGGGTCCTGAAGCTGCCCCAGGTGGAACTGGAGGACCATGGGAAATACATCTGCCGAGCTCAGCAGCACGAGTCAGCCTCTCTGGAAGCCTCTGTGACCCTCAGTGTGAAGAGTGAGTAGGAGCACACCTGGGTCAGGGCCCTGGGGTGTTGGGGAGGAGAGAGGCTCCTGTGATCCCTCCCCTGTTTCTCCCCCCAGACCCCCCACAGCTGCAGGACCCTCCTGCTCCTGGGAGGATAGGGGTCAGCCCTGCAGCTGCTCCTCCTGAGCCCAGCTCACCCCCTCAGTGTGCTGGTGGTGGAGGAGGGGTTGCTGGAGGGAAACCCTAGCAACCCGTCCTACATGGTCAGAGGGAAGACCTGGACCAAGCTTTGAGGCTTCTCTGAGGTCCAGACCTGGGACCCTCATCCCAATCCCCTGTCCCTGCTTCTCACCATCCCTCAGTCATGCACCTCACATTCTCATCTCAGGGCCCCCAGATTGGGGCCGCTCTGCAAACCTGACCTGCTTTGTGCCCTGAGCCTGTGAATGGGGCACACCCCCATCTTCTCCTGGATGCCAGCTGTTCACACCAGCCAGGGCATTTTTGCCCATTTTCTAACTGGGTTGTTTGACTTTTGGGGTTGTTGAATTGTAAGAATGTTTTTTTGACAATAGAAACATGGGTTTATTTCTGGGCTCTCTATTCTGTTTCATTGATCTGTGTGTCTCTTTCTATGCCAGTACCACACTGTTTTGATTACTGTGGCCTTGCAGTATAATTTGATGTCAGGTATTGTGATCCCTCCTACTTACTTTTCTGTCTCAAAATTGCTGTAGCTATTTGGGTTTGTTTATGGTTCCATATAAATTTCTGCAATGTTTCTTCTGCACCTGAGAAATCTGTCATGGGTATTTTAACAGTGATTGCATTGAGTCTATACATTGCTTTGGGTAGTATGGACACTGTGATGATGTTAACTCTTCCAATCCCTGAACCCTGTATATGCTTCCAGTTATCTGTGTCTCCCTTAATTTCTTTCCTCAATGTTGTGTAGTTTTCTGAGTGGATAAAAAAAAAACCCAAACAAACAAACACAGCCATGGTACATTTACACAATGGAATACTACGCAGCAGTAATAAAGAAGTACTACCTTTCATGACAGCATGGATGGAACTGGAGAGCATTATGCTAAGTGAAATAAGCCAGGTGGTAAAAGACAAATACCCTATGATCTCACCTATCAGTGGAACCTAATCAACAAAACAAACAAATGAGCAAAATAAAACCCGAGACAAGGCAATAAAAAACTATCTGACAGTGAGCAGAGGGCAGGGAGGAACAGGATTACTGGGGCAAGAAGGGGAAGGGTCATCAGGGAACATGTGAAAGGACCCATGGACAAGGCCAGAGTGGTAGGATTGAGTGTGGGAGGTGGGAGTGATGGTAGGAAAATGAGGCAACTGTACTCTTAACAACAATAATAAAAAAAAAGAATGATTTTTTGCTAAAGGTTTCTCTTCTTTTTTAAATTGTTGTTTAATTAGAGTTCTCCACATTATCCCCTATTATTATCCCCGGCCCTGCCCGTCCCCCTCTCCCACAATCCTCGCCCCCATTCTCCTTGTTCATGTGTCCTTTATACATGTTCCTTGTCTTGACCCTTCCCCTCCTTAGTCCCAGTATTCCCTTCCTCCCTCGCCTCTGGTCACTGCCAGATTGTTTTTTATTTCCATGTCTCTGGTTTTATTTTGCTTTCTTGTTTGTGTTGCTGATTAGGTTCCCCATATAGGTGAAATCATATGGTGTTTGTCTTTCACCATCTGGTTTATTTCACTTAGCATAATGCTCTCTAGATCTCCATCCATGCTGTCCCAAAGGGTAAGACTTCCTTTGTTCTGTTGTGTATTCCATTGTTGTAAACATACTACAATTTTTTGATCCACTCATTTACTGATGGGCATTGGGGCTGATTCTAGCACTTGGCCATTGTCAACAATGCTGCCATGAACATTGGGGTGCATAGGTTCTTTGAATTGGTGTTTTCAGATTCTTAGGGTATAATACCAGCAGTGGAATTACTGGGTCAAAAGGCAGTTCCATTTTTAGTTTTCTGAGGAAATTCCATACTGTTTTCCACAGTGGCTGCACCAGTCTGCATTCCCCCCAACAGTGCAAAAGGATTCCCTTTTCTCTACCTCCTCGCCAGCACTTGTTTATTGATTTGTTTATGATGGCCAGTCTGACCAGTGTGAAGTGGTATAGAATATATTTTCTGAATTGATTTTATGGAAAGAACATGGGAGAAAGAGAGAGAGAGAGAGGGGAACACCAATGTATTGTTATACTTATTTACGGATTCATTGGTTGCTTCTTGTATGTGTCTTGACCAGGGATCCAACTCACAATCTTGGCACATCAGGATGATGCTTTGACCCACTGAGCTGCTAGCCAGGACTGTAGAGTTATTTATATATGCTGGATAATAAGCCATGCTGGATCTAAGAATAGCAAATATTTTTCCCATTAAATAGGTTGGCTTTTCACTTTGTCCATACTATTAATTTGCTAACAGAACGTATTATTTTGATAAATTCCACATTAGACCTTTTATTTTCTGTGCAACTGCAGGTAGTCAGGGCAGGCTGAAGGGTGAAGGCGCAGGCAGTCTTGCATATATGGATGCAGGAAAGCCTGGAGGATGACCTCCAGGTTTGTAGTGGGAGCCAAAGGACACAGGATTGCCATTGTGCAGATGACACCCTACTTGTCCCTCTTTCCTGCAGGAAAATCAGGGACCAGGGCAGTGGTGGTGCTGGTGGCCATTGTGGAAGTAGCTGCTAAGACCCTATTCCTACTGCTCTGCCTCATCATCCTCATGTGAGCTCTGCCTCAGAGACAAGGGAGGGAAGGGGAGGGTAGGAGACATGTGGTTGAGTCCAAAACCAGGGCCAGGGATCCCAGCAAATAAGGGGTAGTGCTGGCAGGTGGTGAAAAGGTGATGGGTGAGGACCCCACATGAGAAGCCATTGTGAGTGCCTAGACTGGGAGGAATCTTCAGTGCTCAAGGTAATCTTTGGGGCCAGATCTGTCATCCCCAAACTTACTCTCCTGTTTATCCCTTGAGAAAGAAACAGGGGTTGGGTCTGCTGCCCACTGCACCCTGACCCAACCAGACTAGAAAACCCTGGTCTCTTCTCTCAGAGTCAGATACCAGAGGAGGAAGGTGAGGAGACCCACAAGGGGCATGAAACATGCAAACACAGAATCCAGTTAATGCCTCAGGTGAGTGACCCAGGACTCTCACTACCCAACTTCTCACTGACAGCACCTCTCAGACGGTCCCTGGGATTGCTCTGCTGAGCATGGTTACAGCTGAGCTGCCATCTTCCTCCCCAAACCCACTTCTTTGCAGACTCTTAGTCACACAGAGGACACAGTGCCCTCTCTTCCTTCTTCATGATTCAGTACATCACTAAGTCTTGTTCACCTTTTCTTTTTATCACAGCTCAGCTCAATGTCCGTCAGCTCCCGATCCTATCCCTGGTCATTCCTGTAGCCTCATTTCTTTCTGGGTGTCTGAACCCAGCAACGTCCTGCCTCCACCTCTGTCTTCAACTGAGGCCAATAGACTGTTTTAGCGGATACCTGCCCTCCAGGTTCTGCACAGTATGAACAGTGATGTTTCCTGTCTGTGGCTGGGATGAAGGCAAAGTCCACAGGCTGGATTTAGGACTGGCATAACATGTGTTCTGCTGGACTCTCCACTGGATTCCACCCTCTTCTGCAATCTCACACCATCTCTGCTCCCAGCCCAGCCAGGGTCTTTGTGACTCTGAGACTTTGCATGTACAGTTCCTCCTGCTGAAATGGCCTTCCCTTCAGATTCCTACATCTCCAAGTGCTGATCATCTTTTGGTCTCAATTAAAAGCCACCTAATTGTGTGTGTGTGTGTGTGTGTGTGTGTGTGTGTGTTTGTGTGTGTGTACGCAATTCTTGTATATTGTAAACAATGAAATATGTAGGGTTGTCATTTATTTATATCTTCTTTAGGAAGTATGACTGAATGCTTACTGTGTGCCAGCATTTTTGTAAACACTGGAGATATGCCTGTGGACCCAGCATCAAAATCTCTGTCATCCAGAAACTGCCATTCTGGAGACTAGAGGATAGAATTAAATCAGTGAAGACCCTAGAGCACTGAGCCACAGAAAGGAGGATATGATTCAGGGACCAGAGAGGGGTTTTGAGGGGAGGTTCATTCTGAGAAGCCACCTCATGGCCCCTGGGGAACATCAGTGACAGTGCTGGGGTGAATGCTGGAGATGAGGAGATGGTCAGGACTGGAGATGGGGGCACATGTGTCAGTGTCAGAGGGTGGCAGTGGTGAGGGAGGACAGGCTCTGGCAGCCCAGAGAGAAGAGAAGACACAAGAAAAGAAATGGTCACTGGGTCTCAGTGGTTGGTGGGAAAGGTGTGAAGATGTGACTGGAGCAGGATCAGGAGAGAACTGGAGGAGTGGATATGGGAACCCAGGGTCCAGAAAACCCCTGAGAAGTTTGTCTGCAAAGAAGAACAGTGGAGTGGGTCTGGAGGAGGAGGACTTTTCTTAATTCCACCTCTGCTTTTTCCAAGAGGTTTCCCATGAATTCCTGCCTGCGTTTCTTTCCTGTGGCCATTGAAAGATATTACCACATACTCTGTACCTTTTATGGTAAAGTTTTATTGTCTTGGTCCTTTGGGCCAGAAGTTCATGCAGGAAATAAGATATCTTCTCATTCTGCCCTTCTAAGCTCTTGGCTGAGGCCCCTGGAACAGAGAAAGACTAGGTACCACATCTTGGGATCCCATGTCTTGAATCCCGTGATGAGAATTGAGTTCTGATGTGTGGAAATCGAGTGGTAGGTGGGACTCACACTCTGAGAGACTCGAGGGGAAACCACCTTTGTGATTCCCAGGGGGTGGGGCTCTCAGACATCCTTGGTTGGTGTCTGGGTCACTGCAGCCTGTCCCCTGGACACACTGCCTCATCCTGCTCTGTGTGCAGAGAGTCACCTGCTGTGTCTCTCTCAGAGGACATGTGTGACTACATTCAGGGACCAACCCTGACAAAGGAGGATCCTGTCCAGGTCAATATCCTCACCTCCATCCCATCTGCAAAGACCCTTTTCCTGATCAGGTAACATTCACAGGTACCAGGCTCTCTTTGGGTGGCCAATATTCACCCTCTGCACTGCCCATGTGACCTGCTGCCTGCATGAATGTCCCCATCCTGCCTCCAGGCCTAGTTTGCTTTGCTCTTCCATGTCCTGACACATTTCAGGGTCACCTCACAAGGGGAACAGGTTTTTGGGAACAGGAGGTTGATGTTCTATAAAAGACACCATTAGAGAGTTAAAGGAGAAGTTACATACTTGGGGAAATATATCTGCCAATATAGACTTGATGAATGCCTTGTATCCAGAATATACCCAAAATTCTCAAGCAAACCAATAAACAATAAATCAACCCAGTTGTAGGAAGAAAATCACTAAACAACAAAAGAAACAACCACACTTAAAATTTGGTCAATTATTTGAATAGACATTTCTATAAAGAGACGCAAATGGTCAATAAACACAGGAAACTATCCTCGACATTATTAACATTAGATAATTTAATTTAAACCACACACAGGGGTTCCACTGTGATTCTGGAAGTTTGCCTTATCAACAAACTGAAAAACAGAAAATACCAACTATGGAAGCAGATATTAAAAAAATGGAACTGTTTTGCTTTGCTCTATGTTATAAAACTGCATCTGCTTTGAAAAACAGTATTGCACTTCCTCAGCACATTATATTTTAAAAAATCCTGCACTTATATTGTTAGAATATACACAGCATGTTAACAGGAAACATGGTAAACTAACCAGTGATCGCAGCTCTAAAGCCACCTTCCTGTGTTGGGAGGAAGGGATGTCTCTGGTGGGGACTTTGTTAGGGACATGTACCAGGTCCAGGGGTCCCCTCTTGTCTTGTCTTCAGCCAGCTGACACTTAGATGCTCACTGACTGCTTGTGAATGAATGAATGAATGAGACAGTGAATGAATGAGTGAATGAGAGAGTGAGTGAGTGAATGAGTGAATGAATGAGTGCAGACTTCTCACAGGGACCCTCACTTCCCTTCTCCCCGACTCTCACAGAAACATCAGGAGTCCTACACCCTGTAGGACCCAGCACAGCTCCCAGGTGAGGCTCTGACTCCTGCTCATGCAGGAGATGACCAGCCCTTCTGGTGGGGGGCCCTATGCCCTATGATTTTCAGAGTTTAATGGCTGTAGATACAGGGTGGAAGTAGGGTCACAGTGTCTGTCTTCCTGTGACTGGCTCTTTCTTCACTCAGTGCAGTGTTCTCAACATTTGGTACTTTTTATACTCTTTTTACTATTTTTGCCAGTGTGGTGTCTGTGTGGTGGTAAAGCACCACAGATTCTATCTGCAGTTCCCTGATCGCTGCTGAAGCCTGCAGCCTTCCCCTGTGCTTGTTGGCCCCTGGAATATCCCGTTTTTTCTCTCAGGTTGTCTGCCTTTTCCTTACTGATTTTTGGAAGATCTTTACACAGTCCTCATTGACTCTAGAAGAACCTTTTGTTACATGCATGTATTGGGAAATATCTTCTCCTGCCAAGGAGTTACATTGAGAAATTGAAATATTTTAAAATAATACAAGTTCATCTGCATCCAATGAAGATAACACGTGTTCTTAAAAATCGTCAACCAAAGAGAAGATAGAGGTAGAGACAAAACTGACATCTCTCTCTGTCCTGAAGTAAATTTAATACACAACAATGTCCTTAACGCCAATGGTGCATGTTTTCTCACTTAACAATGTAGGTCATCAAATTATCCTCCATGTTACAGAGCAGGAAACTGAGGCACACAGAGGTAAAGTGACTTTCCTGCTGGAACACCCTCAGTGAGTAGCTCAGCCTAGATTCAAACCCAGAAATCTCTGCCACTTCAGCCACTCCAAGGAACTTCATGTTTCCATTTATGACCTTTGGCTCAGAGGGCTGTTAGCTGTTTAAGAATCAGACCCTGACACACCTTTCTTTTTGGAGAAGCTTTTTCTGGGCTCCAGCCAGCTCCTGAGGGTGGGGGACCATCATCATTTCCAGAACTTGACCTCAGAGTAGGGGGTCTCCTGGGCCTGAGGCTTGTGTGGTTTCATGTTGTGGAAACTGAGAGCAGCGTAGTGGAGCTCATGCTCTGAGGGGGAGGTGGCTGGCGCTGGGGGCAGGTAGTGGGAGGAGGGTGCACTCAGGTGACCCTGAGTCAGAGGAGAGAAATGCATACAAGGTGGGTTTGGGGTCTGAAGAGGGGCACTTGGGGCTTGGGGGACTTATTTATTTGTCCTTTTCACACCCATTTCCTGAGGATTCACTCACTCACTGATTCATTCACTCATTTACCTATTTGTACCATTAACAAATTTTAATCATAAAAGCTTGTTTGTATTATTAGTCTCACATAATCCTTATGACCTCTCTCCATGGATATAACTGTTATCCCATTTTATAGACAGGAAAGCTGATCTCATGTTCCTTCCTACTTTTTGGATACCACTCCAAGGAAGTTGTAAGTTATAAACATCATTCATTGTGTGTTTCTGTTGGATTCACTGATGTTAATGGCAGGAGTAGGACAGCTGTGTGGGGAATGTTCGGGGAGGGGAGGTGGAGTCAGGGGCCCCAGGAAATGGTTGAGGGCTCAGCAGGACAGAAAGCAAAGGAGAAGGGCGTTGCTACAAGGAAATGGGTCAGGACTTGGCCAATGACAGGCTCTGAGGGATGCGGGAGAGGACAGTTGTGAGATCTGAGGGTCTGTGCCAGGAAACCTGGGGGAGGGCCAAGTTTGGGGGCAGAGGAGGAACACCTGTGTTCACCACAGGGACACTGGGTGGAACATGGCCCCTGGTACTCACCTGGGAGATGCCTTCCTGGCTCTCTGCCTTCTCTGCCCATTTCTTCCTGCAGATCCTCAGTCTGAAAAGAGAGACAGGGCATTTCAGCCCAGCTGGCTCGCACCTGGGGGCCTGGCAGGGCTCACAGAGGCAGGTGTGGAGGCTGCTGCCTGGCTTCAGGGACCAGGACAGGAACACATGTCCCTCCTCCTAGACAGCTGCAGCCAGGTGTTGGGAACACAGTGCACCTGGTCAAGGTGCCAGGAGGCTGACGTCCTGTCTCTGCCTCACCTGTGGCACCTCTTCCCGGATTTATCACCTTGTCACAACTCTGGGCTAAAGGTTTGGATATTTTTTGTGTCCCTGCCCCCACACACCATGAGCACCACCTCCTGAGGCCTTTGCCCAGCCTGGGGCCACTGCCCATTCACAAGATGGGGCTCAGGCAGGCAGCCAGCAGGGCTGTGGCACCAGCTCCCTGGACAGCCCCCTGAATCACTCCTGTCCCATATCCTGGTCTGCCTGCAGAGATGAGACACCTGGGGTGAGCTCCTCTTTCCCTAGGCAGGTATCTGAGCACCTGACCTTCTTGAATCCATGCTGAGGAGTGTACCCACTCCCATATAGGACTCCTTTGTCCCCCACCCTTCATGTGACTGCAGCCTCCAGGTCCCCCAGCCCCACCTCAGCCATTTCTCAAGGGCCTGGACTCCAGTGTCCCTTTGCCCAGAATCAGGCCACTTTCCCTCACACTCAGTGTCTTCTAGGGTCCAGCCCTGTGTGCCCCCTCCCTGGGCTTCCCCCTCACACCTGACCTGGCAGCAGCAGGACAGTCACTGTCTCTTTCCAGTAGGCATTCTGGGCCTCACATCCCCGCCTGAGGTTGGATGTAAGCTCCCCGCGGATACTCAGGGAGCTGTTGGCCCAGGGCTCCACTGAGTGGAAGGTGACCGTGTGGGAGGCATTGCTGTGGTTTCCCACCAGCATCCTCTCCCTCGGCCACCAGTGCAGTGAGGGGCCCAGCTGAACTCGAGAGGAGCAGCTGCTGTGGAGACCCTCATCCTCCCAGGAGCAAGAGGGTCCCTGCAGCTGTTGGGGTTCTGTGGGGAAAAACAGGGGTGGGATTACAGGAGCATCTCTCCTCCCTAAGACCCCGGGGCCCTCCTGGCACAGGTGTGCTCCTACTCACTTTCACATGAGGGTCAGTGGGGCCCCAACTCCTTCCACCCTCAGGGACCCAATGTCCTGACTGGGTACTCACAGGTCACATTGATCTGGATGGTCCTTACCCTGATCTCACCACCAGAGATCTCACCACCTGGGAAGGCCACCTGACAGGTGAGGTTGGTGCCATGGTGCTGGGGCCCTGGTGTGAGGGTGAGCACTGAGGAGTTGGGAGTCCTGGGACCCAGGGGTGTGAGGTTGGCCCCCATCCAGGAGAACATGGGTGATGTCTCTCTGTCACAGGCCCATGACACTGTACAGGTAATGTTGTTGGAGTGTCCAGACTCCAAGGTCCCCTGGATGTGGATGTCAGGTGTTGGTGTGTGAACTGCGGAGGAGAGAGACCCAGGCCCTGGAGGAGGGGTCTCTGAGTGTGCACCAAACTGCAGCCTCTGTTCCAGGCCAGCCCCTGGGTCTAGTCCCCATCAGTCCCCCTGAGTCCTTCCCGGGATGAGGAGACTCAGGTTTCTTCCCAGTCCAGGAGCCCTAAGGACCCAGTCATGTGCCCTCATCTTGACCCCATTTCTTACCTGTCACATGTACAGAGAGCATGTTGTTTCTGTAATAGTAACTCACACAGGACCCTCTCTTGACCCTAAAGAAATATCTCCCATTGTCCCTTTTCTCTGTGTCTCTCATGTTCAGGGAGCAGTTGTATGTCCAGGGGTCCCCAACGAGGATGAATTGGCCCCTGGTCTCGTTCCTCACTTTACAGTTGGGGATGTTTGTGGCCACAGGAACATCCTTGCCTGACTTGGTCCCTTCTGGGAACCAGTAGCCCCTAGTTGGGGCAGTCTCAGTCCATCCTATCTTGGGGTAGATCACAGTGCAGGGCATGAAGATGCACTGGCCTTCCTGAACCATCAAGGACCCCTGCACTTGCAGCTGGAATCTCGGATCCTCAGCCCGGGACCCTGTAGGGAAAGACCTGTCAGCCGCAACCTCCACCCCAGCCCACACACTCTCCCCTGGGGCACTAACCTGCCCACAGCAGGGCCAGCAGCAGCAGAAGCAGCAGCATCTCTGGGGTAAGTGTCAGGGTCTTGGTGTCAGAGGACTGAGAGGCAGCCCCAAGAGGAAGCCAAGGGGAAGAGAGAAAGGTGATGATTAGGGAGGAGGAAGTGGGCAGCCTATGTGGCAGAGCTGGCCTGGCCCTTGTAGAATAAGTTCTTCCACTGTTGACATAGGGTCCACATGAGGGCCCCATATTATGGGGAGGACACGGCCCAATATGATTGAGTCCCTGTCATTGCCTGTCCCTGTGGTACTACTGTCCACACAGGAAAGCAGGCACAGCTTCTGTGAAATATGCAGGATCATTTCCATGGGAGTGGGACTCAGGAGGGGCTGACAGGGGACATTGAGGAATGAAATGTGACATAGTCCGCTAGGTGAGACAGGAGGTGATGGATGAAGAAATAAACACACAGCCGACCAGAGCATCTGCTCCCTCAGGGGTGTGGAGTCAAAGCAGAGACAGTGGCAGCCTTTGTCCCTGTCCCTGACAGTGACCCTCACACCTGAGGAGGCAGAAGGGCCCCAGGCCATGGCAGCTCCCAGTGGTCCAGGGTGAGTTGGTGGCAGATCAGCCCAGGGTGTGTAGGAATCCCAGTTACTCTGGGCAGTTGACAGTGAGCCCCCAGGTGAGAAAGCCCTGAGAGGACAGGACCAGGCTACCCAGGAGGTCAGCATTCTGTCACCCCACAAGTGGTCCTCAGCTTGCTGTCCTGTTTGGAGTCCCACTGCGCAGGCATCCCTGGTGTTGATTCAGAGCAAGATGCCTGCACACTGTGCCTTTGGAGTCAGTTGGGCCTAGCTCTTGTGCCCTCCAAGCCTCAGTTTCCTCATCTGTCACAGGGAAGCATCATAGACCTCAACCCTCATCTTCTGTGGGAGAACCCTAGTAAGTGCAGGTGCTGGCCCTACCTGATCCTCATTGGTCACTCTGAGTCTGGCCCTTGATGAACATCCCCTGATGGCCAGTTATGCCCTGAGATTCCTCATTTGAGAACTGCAGGGTGGGGTCAGGGGTGCAGGCTGTGCAGCCAGATGGTCCTGGGCTCCAGCCTGGCTCTTCCATGCTCACTGTGCTGCCTTGGGAAAGGGCTCACTGCTCTGTGCACAGTTGGACACCAAGGCTCATGAGGTGGCATGGGCTGAGTTGTGTCAACCCCAAAATACATCTGTTCATGTTGTGACTCCAATACTGCTTAATGTGACTGGTTTTGGAGATCAGGTCTTTTAGGGGGCTTAAGGTAGAATGAGGTCACTAGAGTATACCCTCATTCAATAGGATCAGTGTCCTTATAAGGAGAGTTTAGGGCACAGACACGCATAGAGAAGAGACCACAGGGGAAGAACCACCCGCAAGCCAAGCAGAGAGGTCTCAGAGGGGACCAGTCCTACCAACACCTTGATGTTGAGCTTCCTGTCTCCAGAACTGTGAGAATATGCATTGCTTTGGTTTACGCCCCTAGTGGCGGCACTGTGTTATGACAGCCCAAGCCAGGGAACACAGAGGGTTGCCAAGAAGATGGAGGTGTTCCTGCAAGTAAAGTGTGGGGAGCGGCCTGGCCTGGACCACAGTAGACACCATCCACACAAGGTGGTCCATAGGATGGGCCACTCTGCGGGTGGGAGGAGGAGAGGGGAGGGAAGGACTTTGTAACAGGAGGAAACCCTGTGAGGTAACCCCTCTGCTCCTCCACGACCAGCTCTGCACACTGCAGGGCTGCAGCTTCAGCCAGGCCACCCTGCTCCTCCCCTCTCCAGGGCAGGACCAGCCCCCTGGGCTCTGCTAAGGCTGCTCCCTTTGCTGGAGGGTCCCATCACTGGGCCTGCGCCCTTGGTACCTGCCTCTCGTCTCTGGAGCATGGTGTTCTTGAGGGGATGGGTTGAAGTGAGGCAGACCCTGGTGGACCTGGATGGGAGGCAGGGAGAGTCGAAGCCTGGCTGGTCAGGGCTGACACAATGGGGGGTGCAGTGGGGGCACATTAGGAGGAAGAGAGGGTGGGCCTGGGTGATGGCACAGGTGAGCTGGGGGGTCGAAAGAAAGCAGGGTTGTATGTGAGGCAAGTCTCCTCATTTTAAAGAGCAGGGCCAGAGCCAGAGATGCTGGTGAGGAAGGGGGCGGTCCGCTGTATCCCACCTGCTCGGGTCAGTCCATCAGCCTCTTTGCTCCAGCATCCAAGGGAATCCACCTCCTCCCCTCCCCCATTCTCTCCTCCATATCTCCCCTGCCCTCTCTCTCACCTCCACTTTCTCTTACTCCACCTCCCCTTTCATGCTTCCCCTTCCAAATTTCTGTTCTCTTCCTGCTTCTTCACCCTCCACAACTACTTTCAGGTGAGTCCACTTTACTTTTCACCTGTGCTGGCTTCAGGTCTCAGTCTTTCCAAAGGTGGAGAGATGTTCCCCCCTTCCCTGCCCATATGCCAGTGCTTGGTCTGAATGTGGACACAAATGTAGTTCCCTCACAGGCCAGTGGGGTGGGGTGATGAGGCTGAAGGGACTGCTGGACCACAGGCTCAGGGACTAAGGGTGTGGTGACATCAGATGGCAGGGGGTGGCTTCTGAGATTGACAGAGAAGGTCAGTGGAATGGCAGAGAGGAACCTGGGGTCATGAGCATCCCTGACCTTCCCTCCTGCTGGAATGTTGAGTCTGGTTGGCTTGACCATGAGGCCTGAATCTTCCGCAGCAAAGCTGCCCATGTGAGGACCCAGGGGGTGAGACCTGTTGTGTGTGTCTGTGTGTGTGTGTTCCATAGAAGTGTTGCATATTTGTGGAATGTCTGTCTATATTTTAGTGTGTATATGTGTGCATATATGTGTCTCTTACCTCTGTGTGTACACGTGTGTATATGTGTGTCTGTGGTCTCTGTGTGTATTGTGTGCACATATCTGAGTGGTAGGTGTGACTGTGAGGCACCTGTGGTGTGTGTGCATGTGTGCACACTGAAAGCTCAGCTTCTCAAAAATGACATGCACAAACAACACCATGAAGAATGTAATCCATCCCATATTTTCTATATAACTTTCCTGCTTTGTTTTCCTGCAAACTCCTCATCACCAGTCTGTATCACATGCACGTAGTTACTCCACTTCCTGCGACTCTTTGACTCTGGGGCTCAGGCCAGCCCAGTGGAGGAACTGCAGGAAGTGTCTGGGCAGAAGTGGGGCTGGGATTCTGGGGTGGTTGAGAGCACCTGGGTAGAGACCAGAAGGCTGCAGACAGAAATGTGAGAAACCCTGGAAGAAGGGATAGCCTGTCCTGGACTATAAGAGTTAGAATCAGCTCAGGTGGGGAAAGATAGCATGCTTGAAGGTACTCAGCTGGCTGTGGGGACAGACAAAAAGCTAGAAGGAAACGTGATTTCTCCTAAGGTCTTGGAACAGCTGTCAAGTGTCAGAAGGACCCCACTTTGAGTGGTGAATGCTCTCTTCCAATGATGCTCTGAGTCTGGCTTCATTATTCCCATCTAATGAGTTAGCACAGCATCCAGTACATAGTTCACATCCCTACAGGGTAAGCGGTCATGTGTGATGAAGGCAACACCCAGTAGAACCGAACACCCATGACCAGCATTACTGCCCTGCGAGGTCACCCGCCCCTTGCCCAGCCCCTCTCACTCTGCCTTAGGCCTGGTAGATGGTTGGCCTCCAGGGGCCGCTCAGTCCATGAAGAGACACTGAATCCCTGGGAGATTGAGGCAGAGACGCTGCCGCTGTCCACGGTGCTGAAATCACGTCCCGAGGTGAGCTCAGGTACCTGCTTCCCAACTCTGCAGAAGGGCCTGACTGGAGACTTATGTCCCAGTGTAGGGTCAGGAGGGAAAAAGTGCGCAGGTGGACGGAAGTGGGGAAGGGGAGCCAACAAATAGGAGTCTTCGGATTGGACTCCTCTCATGGCTCCATCTCCTCCCGTCTCCTGTTCACTCTCAGGCTTTGTCTGTCCTGAGGATGATGTCTGTCTGCCCCACCTGGCTGAGCCACAGGCAGGAGGATTTGCTTGCTAAGGCTGCCTGTTTTCTGCCCGCTGGATGACTTCTAAGTAGCTCTGTTCAGCTCTCCAGCTGCACCAGAACATACAAAACCAACAAAAGAGGTATAATAAATATGAGAGGCTAGCCCTCCCAGATAACAAAGGAGAAAAGTGAGGGTCAGGGTCAAGGATACTAGACACTATTTTGGACCCTTTCTCCAGTTCTGTCCACCCACCCTGTACTTCTGGGAAGGAGGGGATACTCTCGGTCCTGATGGGAAAAGTAGGCACTTCCTGGCTCCCACTGACTCCTCTTGCTGGACTCGCTGCTACTGTCAGAGGGACCTGGAGAGGGAGGGACCTACCTGGCTGCCTCCTGATTCTCAGTTGTCATTTGGGAAACAGCAGGTTGAGTGTCGGTCCTCTGTTGGGTGCGGGCACTGAGGGGCCCTGCCTCTGCATTGTTCCTCATGTCCTGCCTCCTAAACCAGTTTACCTTCTTCTTATCTCCAGAATTCTCTAGTGGTCTCCTGCACAAGTCACAGGGTGTATGGCTGTGAATGGAAGGGAGGAGTCAGAAACAAGGGTTAACACCATCCTCTCTCTCAGACCACCATCTGGATTGGAGGTCTACCTATTAATTGTTAATGTTTCAAGAATGGGTTGATCTTCATCACCCTGCCTGACACTCTCATGAACACAAGTCTGACTCAACTCTTCCTTCTGAGTGTCAGGAGGTGGGATTTAGGGATTGGGCATTGTTTTACATTATGCTTGTCCTTAGGGGTCACTTTATGAATTTATGGTGCAACTTCTCCCCTGTCATGATTTTGGTGCTGCAGAAAAATTATGAGCTGTTTTTGTTTAAACTGATTTTCAGTTCAAATATGAGTTATCTTGCCCTGGCCAGCATGGCTCAGTTGGCTGAAGCATCATCCTGTAGACTGAAATATTGTGGGTTTGATTTCTCTGGTCAGGGCACATTCCCAGGTGGCAAGCTCCATCCCTGCTTGGGGTGGGAAGGGCAACAATCTTTTTC